CCTTTTGCAGAATATCAGTCTGTCCCTGATATTTTTCCTGGAGAGAAGTGGCTTCTTTGCTGCCCTTCTTGACACCAGGCCATCCTCAAAAAGTATTTGCCTCACTATGTGTGCAGATGCATTCACACCTGCCTGCTGCCATTCTTGAGCAAGCTCTGCACTGGTGGTGCCCCGATCCCGCAGCTGAATCAACTTTAGGAGATGGTCCTGGCGCTTGCTGGACTTTCTTGGGCGCCCTGACGCCTTCTTCACAACAATTGAACCTCTCTCCTTGAAGTTCTTGATGATCCGATAAATGGTTGATTTAGATGCAATCTTACTAGCAGCAATATCTTTGCCTGTGAAGCCCTTTTTATGCAAAGCAATGATGACGGCACGTGTTTCCTTAAAGGTAACCATGGTTAACAGAGGAAAACTTATGATTTCAAGCACCACCCTCCTTTTAAAGCTTCCAGTCTGTTATTCTAACTCAATCAGCATGACAGAGTGATCTCCAGCCTTGTCCTCGTCAACACTCCCGGAGTCGCCTCTTCACTGTTGACGTTGAGATTGGGTTATGCGGGTACTATTTAATGAAGCTGCCAGTTGAGGACCTGTGAGGCATCTGTTTCTCAAACTAGACACTCTAATGTATTTGTCCTCTTGCTCAGTTGTGCACCGGGGCCTCCCACTCCTCTTTCTATTCTGGTTAGAGCCAGTTTGCGCTGTTCTGTGAAGGAAGTAGTACACAGCGTTGTATGAGATCTTCAGTTTCTTGGCAATGTCTTGCTTGGAATAGCCTTCATTTCTCAGAACAAGAATAGACTGACGAGTTTCAGAAGAAAGTTATTTGTTTCTGGACATTTTGATCCTGTAATCGAACCCACAATTGCTGATGCTCCAGATACTCAACTAGTCTCAAGAAGGCCAGTTTTATTGCTTCTTTAATCAGCACAACAGGTTTCAGCTGTGCTAACAAAATTGCAAAAGGTTTTCTAATGATCAATTAGCCTTTTAAAATGATAAACATGCATTAGCAAACACAACGTGCCATTGGAACACAGGACCGATGGTTGCTGATAATGGGCCTCTGTACGCCTATGTAGATATTCCATAAAAAATCTGCAGTTTCCAGCTACAATAGCCATTTACAACATTAACAATGTCTACACTGTATTTCTGATCAATTTTATGTTATTTTAATGGATACACCATCCCATCTGGTTTGCGCTTAGTGGGACTATCATTTGTTTTTCAACAGGACAATGACCCAAAACACACCTCCAGGCTGTGTAAGGGCTATTTGACCAAGGAGAGTTATGGAGTGCTGCATCAGATGACCTGGCCTCCACAATCACCCGAACTCAACCCAATTGAGATGGTTTGGGATTAGTTGGATCGCAGAGTGAAGGAAAAGCAGCCAGCAAGTGCTCAGCATATGTGTGAACTCCTTCAAGACTGTTGGAAAAGCATTCCTCATGAAGCTGGTTGAGAGAAAGCCAAGAGTGTGCAAAGCTGTCATCAATGCAAAGGGTGGCTACTTTGAATGTTACATATATTTTCAAATCAAATTTAATTTGCCACATGCGCCGAATACAACAGGTGTAGACCGTACAGTGAAATGCTTACTTACAAGCCCTTAAACAACAATGCAGTTTTAAGAAAAATAAGTGTTAAGTAAAAAATAATAATTAAAGAGCAGCAGTAAAATAAAATAACAGTAGGGAGACTATATACAGGGGGTACCGGTACAGAGTCAATGTGCGGGGGCACCGGTTAGTTGAGGTAATTGAGGTAATATGTACATAGAGTTAAAATGCAAATAGTCCAGGTAGCCATGATTAGCTGTTCAGGAGTCTTATGGCTTGGGGGTAGAAGCTGTTAAGAAGCCTTTTGGACATAGACTTGGAGCTCCGGTACCGCTTGCCGTGCGGTAGCAGAAAGAACAGACTATGACTAGGGTGGCTAGAGTCTTTGACCATTTTTAAGGCCTTCCTCTGACACCGCCTGGTATAGAGGTCCTGGATAGCAGGAAACTGGGCCGTATGCACTACCCTCTGTAGTGCCTTGCAGTTGCCGAGCAGTTGCCATACCAGGCAGTGATGCAACCATTCAGGATGCTCTCAATGGTGCAGCTGTATAACTTTTTGAGGATCTGAGGATCCATGCCAAATCTTTTCAGTCTACTGAGGGGGAATAGGCTTTGTCGTGCCCTCTTTATGACTGTCTTGGTGTGTTTGGACCATGATAGTTTGTTGGTGATGTGGACACCAAGGAACTTGAAGCTCTCAACCTGTTCCACTACAGCCCCGTCGATGAGAATAGGGGCGTGCTCAGTCCTCTTTTTTTCCCTGTAGTCCACAATCATCTCCTTTGTCTTGATCACGTTGAGGGAGAGGTTGTTATCCTGGCACCACACGGCCAGGTCTCTGACCTCTTCCCTATAGGCTGTGTCATTGTTGTCGGTGATCAGGGCTACCACTGTTGTGTCGTCGGCAAACTTAATGATGGTGTTGGAGTCGTGCCTGGCCATGCAGTCATGGGGGAACAGGGAGTACAGGAGGGGACTGAGCACGCACCCCTGAGGGGCCCCCATGTTGAGGATCAGCGTTGCAGATGTGTTGTTACCTACCCTTACCACCGGGGGGCGGCCCGTCAGGAAGTCCAGGATCCAGTTGCAGAGGGAGGTGTTTAGTCCCAGGGTCCTTAGCTTAGTGATGAGCTTTGAGGGCACTATGGTGTTGAACGCTGAGCTGTAGTCAATGAATAGCATTCTCACATAGGTGTTCCTCTTGTCCAGGTGGGAAAGGGCAGTGTGGAGTGCAATAGAGATTGCATCATCTGTGGATCTGTTGGGGAGGTATGCAAATTGGAGTGGGTCTAGGGTTTCTGGGATAATGGTGTTGATGTGAACCATGACCAGCCTTTCAAAGCACTTCATGGCTACATATGTGAGTGCAACGGGTCGGTAGTCATTTATGCAGGTTATCTGAGTGTTCTTGAACACAGGGACTATGGTGGTCTGCTTGAAACATGTTTGTATTACAGACTCAGTCAGGGACATGTTGAAAATATCAGTGAAGACACTTTCCAGTTGGTCAGCGAATGCTCGGAGTACGCGTCCTCATAATCCATCTGGCCCTGCGGCATTGTGAATGTTGACCTGCTTAAAAGTCTTACTCACATCGGCTACAGAGAGAGAGTGTGATCACATATTCAATCGGAACAGCTGATGCTCTCATGCATGCTTCAGTGTTGCTTGCCTCGAAGCGAGCATAGAAGTGATTTAGCTCGTCTGGTAGGCTCGTGTCACAGGGTAGCTTGCGGCTGTGCTTCCCTTTGTAGTCTGTAATAGTTTGCAAGCCCTGCCACATCCGACGAGCATCAGAGCCGGTGTAGTACGATTCAATCTTAGTCCTGTATTGACTCTTTGCCTGTTTGATGGTTCGTCGGAGGGCATAGCGGGATTTCTTATAAGCGTTCGGGTTAGAGTCCCGCTCCTTGAAAGCGGCAGCTCTACCCTATAGCTCAGTGCGGATGTTGCCTGTAATCCATAGCTTCTGGTTGAGGTAGGTACCAACGATCACTGTGGGGACGACGTCATCGATGCACTTATTGATGAAGCCAGTGACTGATGTGGTGTACTCCTGTATGCCATCGGAAGAATCCCGGAACATATTCTAGTCTGTGCTAGCAAAACAGTCCTGTAGCTTAGCATCTGCATCATCTGACCACTTCCTTATTAACCGGTCACTGGTGCTTCCTGCTTTAGTTTTTGCTTATAAGCAGGAATCAAGAGGATGGAATTATGGTCAGATTTGACAAATGGAGGGCGAGGGAGAGCTTTGTACGCGTCTCTGTGTGTTGAGTAAAGGTGGTCTAGACTTTTTTTCCATCTGGTTGCACATTTAACATGCTGGTAGAACGGATTTCAGTTTCCCTGCATTAAAGTCCCCGGCCACTAGGAGCGCTGCCTCTGGATGAGCGTTTTCCTGTTTGCTTATGGCCTTATACAGCTCATTGAGTGCAGTTTTAGTGCCAGCATCGGTTTGTGGTGGTAAATAGACAGCTACGAAAAATATAGATGAAAACTCTCTTGGTAAATAGTGTGGTCTACAGCTTATCATAAGATACTCTACCTCAGGCGAGCAAAACCTAGAGACTTCCTTAATATTCGATTTCGTGCACCAGCTGTTGTTTACAAATAAACACAGACCGCCACCCCTTGTCTTAACGGAGTCAGCCGTTCTATCCTGCCGATGTAGCGTATATCCTGCCAGCTGTATGTTATCCATGTCGTCGTTCAGCCATGACTCGGTGAAACATAAGACATTACAGTTTTTAATGTCCCGTTGGTAGGATATCCTTGATTGTAGGTCGTCCATTTTGTTTTTCAATGATTGTACGTTGGCTAATAGGACTGATGGAAGAGACAGATTACTTGCTCGCCGTCGGATCCTTACAAGGCACCCCGACCTACGTCCACGATATCTCCCTCTCTTTCTCATGTGAATGACAGGGATTGGGCCTTGTCGGGTGTCTGTAGAATATCCTTCACGTCCGACTCGTTGAAGAAAAAATCTTCATCCAATACGAGGTGAGTAATCGCTGTCCTGATATCCAGAAGCTCTTTTTGGTCATAAGAGACGGTGGCAGAAACATTATGTACAGAATAAATTACAAATAACGCGAAAAAACATACATAATAGCACAGTTGGTTAGGGGGCCGTAAAAAGGCAGCCATCTCCTCCAGCACCATTTTTCTATGTAAAACGTTCAGGCTGCTGCACAGAAGCTATGGAGGCTCTAGTCTAGATTAGTGTTGCACGGTATACCGAAACTTCTGTACTTTTTTGATATTACACTGAACAAAAATATAAATGCAACATGTAAAGTGTTGGTCCCATGTTCCTCCCAGTTTCGTTCCATTTGCTCTGTTTGCTTCTGTTTGGCTCTTAAACGGTAAACGGTTTGCGTTGCAAGACGTAATGAATACACCCCTATTCTCTCCTCTCTCTCAGGATGTGTTCCTTATGATCCGGTGTCAGAAGACCACCATTTTCACAGACGCCAAAGAGTCCACCACCGTCTACGAGCTGAAGCACATTGTCGAGGGAATTCTCAAGAGAGAGCCTGAGTAACAGAGGGTCTTCAAGGTATCACAGGTTCTACCTTAGTAGCGAGTTGGGTTGAGGTGGAGTTATGTGATTGTTAATACACTACACCTGCTCGTCGAACATCTCATTCCGAAATCATGGGCATTAATATGGAGTTAGTCCCCCCTTTGCTGCTATAACAGCCTCCACTCTTCTGGGAAGGCTTTACACTAGATGTTGGAACATTGCTTTAGGGACTTGCTTCCATTCAGCCACAAGAGCATGAGTGAGGTTGGGCAATTAGGCCTGGCTCGCAGTCGGCATTACAATTCCTCCCAAAGGTGTTCAGTGGTGTTGAAGTCAGGGCTCTGTGCAGGCAATGGTGTAAAGTACTTAAGTAAAAATACTTTAAAGTACTACTTAAGTAGTTTTTTTGGGTATCTGAACTTTACTTTACTATTTATATTTTTGACTACTTTTACTTTTACTTCACTACATTCCTAAAGAAAATGATGTACTTTTTACACCATACATTTTCCCTGACACCCAAAAGTACTCATTACATTTTGAATGGCTAGCAGAACAGGAAAATTGTCAATTGCCTCTGATCTGGCATTGCGCATGGAGATCTTAGGCTTGTGTGTGGCTGCTCGGCCATGGAAACCCATTTCATGAAGCTCCCGACAAACAATTATTGTACTGATGTTGCTTCCAGAGCCAGTTTGGAACTCGGTAGTGAGTGTTGCAACCAAGGACAAACGATTTTAATGCGCTACACGCTTCAGCACTCTGCGGTCCCGTTCTGTGAGCTTGTGTGGCCTACCACTTTGCGGCTGAGCCGTTGTTGCTCCTAGACGTTTCCACTTCACAATAACAGCCCTTACATTTGACCGGGGCAGCTCTAGCAGGGCAGAAATTTGACGAACTGACTTGTTGGCATCCTATGACGGTGCCACGTTGAAAGTCACTGAGCTCTTCAGTATGGGCCATTCTACTGCAAATGTTTGTCTAAGGAGATTGCATGGCTGTGTGCTCGATTTTATACACCTGTCAGCAACGTGTGTGGCTGAAATAGCCGAATCCACTCAAGGAGATGATTGTGGACTACAGGAAAAAGAAGAGGACTGAGCACGCCCCCATTCTCATCGACGGGGCTGTAGTGGAGCAGGTTGAGAGCTTCAAGTTCCTTGGTGTCCACATCAACAACAAACTAACATGGTCCAAGCACACCAAGACAGTCGTGAAGAGGGCACGACAAAACCTATTCCCCCTAAGGAGACTGAAAAGATTTGGCATGGGTCCTCAGATCCTCAAAAGTTATACAGCTGCACCATAGAGAGCATCCTGACTGGTTGCATCACTGCCTGGTATGGCAACTGTTCGGCCTCCGACCGCAAGGCACTACAGAGGGTAGTGCGTACGACCAAGTACATCACTGGGGCCAAGCTTCCTGCCATCCAGGACCTCTATACCAGGCGGTTTCAGAGGAAGGCCCTAAAAATTGTCAAAGACTCCAGCCACCCTAGTCATAGACTGTTCTCTCTGCTACCGCACGGCAAGTGATACCGGAGCGCCAAGTCTAGGTCCAAGAGGCTTCTTAACAGCTTCTATCCCTAAGCCATAAGACTCCTGAACATCTAATCAAATGGCTACCCAGACTATTTGCATTGCCCCCCCACCCCTCTTTTATGCTGCTGCTACTCTCTGTTTATTATCTATGCATAGTCACTTTAATAACTCTACCTACAGTTGTCGGAAGTTTACATACACCGTAGCCAAATACATTTAAACTCAGTTTTTCACAATTCCTGACATTTAATCCTAGTAAAAATTCCCTGTCTTAGGTCAGTTAGGATCACCACTTTATTTTAAGAATGTGAAATGTCAGAATAATAGTAGAGAGAATGATTTATTTCAGCATTTATGTATTTCATTACATTCCCAGTGGGTCAGAAATGTACATACACTCAATTAGTATTTGGTAGCATTGCCTTTAAATTGTTTAACTTGGGTCAAACGTTTCGGGTAGCCTTCCACAAGCTTCCCATAATAAGTTGGGTGAATTTCGGCCCATTCCTCCTGACAGAGCTGGTGTAACTGAGTCAGGTTTGTAGGCCTCCTTGCTCGCACACACTTTTTCAGTTCTGCCCACACATTTTCTATAGGATTGAGGTCAGGGCTTTGTGATGGCCACTCCAATACCTTGACTTTGTTGTCCTTAAGCCATTTTGCCACAACTTTGGAAGTATGCTTGGGGTCATTGTCCATTTGGAAGAACCATTTGCAAACAAGCTTTAACTTCCTGACTGATGTCTTGAGATGTAGCTTCAATATATCCACATAATTTGACTCGGTACTGGTACCCCCTGTATATAGCCTTGCTATTGTTATTTTTACTGCTGCTCTTTAATTATTTGTTACTTTTATTTCGTATTATTTTATATTGTATTTTTTTTTTTTTTCTTTTGGTATTCTTTCTTAAAACTGCATTGTTGGGTAAGGGCTTGTAAGTAAGCATTTCACTGTAAGGTCTACACCTGTTGTATTCGGTGCATATGACAAATAACACTTGATTTGATTTGATTTTGATGGGGTGTCCACATATTTTTTTTCCACATATGATTTTTCAAGAGGGATAGGTCAGTTATATTTCAAACTTTGCCCCTCGGATCTCCATCTCACCAGAAAGTTAACTTCTCTAACTTTTATCAAATGTGAGCGTGCCTTTGCTTAAATAGTCAAGTAAATTATTTATTTTTATTTTTATGCATTGGGGTGCACCACCAACAGTGTCAGATATAGTCATCACTTTACAACATCATTTAGTGTCTCATGACTTTCAGTAACATTAGCAATTTTAATCATCTCTTTCTTCCCCCAGGATGACCAATTGCTAGAAGACAGTAAAACTCTTGGCAATTGCAGTTTCACCAACCAGACTGCAAGACATCAGGCCCCAGGCACTGTTGGACTGGCTTTCCGCATGGGTGTTTTGTCCATTTATACTAACTACTTCTCCAGCTACTTTACTGTCACCAGTCCCAGTGTAGTCCCCCTCCATTGGATTTTGATTAATTAGTTCTGCAAGATTTGAGAGCTTCAGGCTCCTCTGGTTTTTAAATATTCTTATCAAACAAGGTACAGGCTTACAGGATTAACTAGTTTTATCTCTCAGACTTGAGGGTGCTTCTGATCAAAATGCGTTAAAAAAACAGCAACTCTATGGTTTTCAATGAGAGTGTCACGATCGTCTTGACGAGAAGTAGACCAATACGCAGCGTGTTGCACGAACATGGTGATCTTTATTATCTTTAGAGATAACCTATACAATACACAAAACAATAAACGACTCGTGAAGTCCACGGTGACAAAGACCGACAAGGAACAAAAACCCACAAACACAAAGTGAAACACAGACAGTTAAATATGGCTCCCAATCAGAGACAACCAGCACACAGCTGACACTCGTTGCCTCTGATTGGGAGTCACTCAGTCAAACATAGAAAATGACGAACTAGAAACACCCAACATAGAAACAGAACACATAGAATGAACACACCCTGGCTCAACATATAGAGTCCCAGAGCCAGGGTGTGACAGTACCCCCCCCCTAAAGGCGCGGACTGCGACCGCGCCTAAATACGAGCAAAACAGGGGAGGGCTGGGTGGGCATTCCTCCTCGGCGGCGGCTCCGGCTCCGGGCTTGCCCACCACCCTCCAACAAACCCCCCATAGCGCCCCTGGTCTGGTCTGGCCCCGCTGGCTGGAGCTGGACTGGACGTAGCAGGAGCGGTAGGCTTCAGCTCCTTAGTGGAGCAGTTGAGCGGTACCTGAATTGGCACCGATGACCCAGGCACGGGTTGTGCCGGACTGACGACTCGCACCCCTGGCTTGGTGCGAGTGGCAGGAACGGGCCGGGCCGGGCTGGCGACGCGCACCGTAGACTTGGTGCGAGTGGCAGGAACAGGCCGGACCGGGCTGGCGACGCGCACCGTAGACTTGGTGCGTGGAGCAGGGACAGGCCGGGCTGGGCTGGCGACGCACACCGTAGGCTTGGTGCGTGGAGCAGCAACTGGCCGGACTGGGCTGGCGACGCACACCGTAGGCTTGGTGCGTGGAGCAGCAACTGGCCGGACTGGGCTGGCGACGCACACCGTAGGCTTGGTGCGTGGAGCAGGAACAGGCCGGGCTGGGCTGGCGACGCACACCGTAGGCTTGGTGCGTGGAGCAGGGACAGGCCGGGCTGGGCTGGCGACGCACACCGTAGGCTTGGTGCGTGGAGCAGCAACTGGCCGGACTGGGCTGGCGACGCACACCGTAGGCTTGGTGCGTGGAGCAGGGACAGGCCGGGCTGGGCTGGCGACACACACCGTAGGCTTGGTGCGAGTGGCAGGAACAGGCCGGGCCGGGCTGGCGACGCACACCGTAGGCTTGGTGCGAGGGGCAGGAACATGCCGGGCTGGGCTGGCGGCGTGCACCTTACACTTAGTGCGGGAAGCAGGAACGGGCCAGACCGGACTGGTGACGCACACCACTTGCTTGGTGTGAGGAGCGGGACTGGGTTTCGTCATAACCCCCCGCTCCCTCAGCTGCCTACCGAGTTCCTCTCGCCGTGCCTCATTTCTCACCCTTTCCCTTATCGCCTCCAAATGCTCCATCCTCTGCAACACTACCTCCTGCTCCCTCGTCGTCCCTGCCGTATGCCCCCCCCTAAATTTTTTTTGGGGTTGCCTCTCGCCTGTCCGACGTTGACCCTGCTGACGCCGCTGCTCCTCTCTCCGTCGCCTCTCCACCGTCTCACTCCATGGCCGGCGATCCATCCCGGCCAGGATCTCCTCCCAGGTCCAGGACCCTTTCCCGTCTAATATCTCCTCCCATGACCAGGCTGCCTGCTCCTGGACACGCTGCTTGGTCCTGGTATGGTGGGTTTTTCTGTCACGATCGTCTTGACGAGAAGTAGACCAATACGCAGCGTGTTGCACGAACATGGTGATCTTTATTATCTTTAGAGATAACCTATACAATACACAAAACAATAAACGACTCGTGAAGTCCACGGTGACAAAGACCGACAAGGAACAAAAACCCACAAACACAAAGTGAAACACAGACAGTTAAATATGGCTCCCAATCAGAGACAACCAGCACACAGCTGACACTCGTTGCCTCTGATTGGGAGTCACTCAGTCAAACATAGAAAATGACGAACTAGAAACACCCAACATAGAAACAGAACACATAGAATGAACACACCCTGGCTCAACATATAGAGTCCCAGAGCCAGGGTGTGACAGAGAGCAGTGCGTTTGGGGAGGGCCTAGGATTGTGTTGTGCTGTTCGTCAGGAAAGTTGGGGACGTTAGGGATCTTATCAACCAATTGAAAACGAAGATTAGCCATAGACAGGTGTGTTATCACTGTTTGATTAGTCAGTTGACTAGTGAATGAATTTGCAGATACTACTGACCATCGTTTCAGTCTGTTGTCCTCAGTAGGCTGTAATGTCACTACGCTGTGTTATTGAGCCCCCTTTCTTTCTCCTCTCCCCTCTTCAGTTGAGATGTTTGAGCAGCTGCAGGTGGAGGCGTTCTCCAGCCCTCCCGAGCTCCCTGACGTCATGAAGCCCCAAGACTCTGGCAGCACTGCCAACGAACAGACTGTGCAGTGATGGAGGGAGGCATGGAAGGATGGAGGGATCGGGGATGGGAGAGGGCTGTCTACAAAAACAGCCAAGGAGGTATAGGTGGCAGGGTAGAGGATATGTACCATCATTTTGGGTTAAGATGGGATGGGGTATGTGTAACCAAACCAGGTTACTACCAACCACCTTCACCTTAACCGAACACTCCTGGATCCCTGTGAATGCTTTGCAAACATCAGTTACTTTTTGATAAGAACCCCCTTTCCTTGCTCCCCAGTCTTCTTGTCACGTGCACCATTCTGTTCAAACACATTGAGAATGAGTCTGACACCGGCGCCTTCTGCGTTGCCGCTGCTCCTCTCTTTACCGCGCCTCCTCTGTCTCCTCCCAAGGACGGCGATCCATCCCGGCCTGAATCTCCTCCCATGTCCAGGAACCCTTTCCTTCCAGGATCTCCTCCCATGTCCAGGCTGTCTGCTCCTGGACATGCTGCTTGGTCCTCGTTTGGTGGGATCTTCTGTCACGTTCGTTCATCGACGGGTCAGACCAAGGCGCAGCGCGATAAGCAAACATATTTACTAACACGAATAAACACACGACAAAACAATAAACTAACGACACGTGAAGTCCTAAGGTCACACACAACAAACCTTATACAGAACAAGATCCCACAACCCACTAGTGCCAATAGGCTGCCTAAGTTTGATCCCCAATCAGAGACAATGAGCTACAGCTGCCTCTGATTGGGAACCACACCGGCCAACATAGAAATACACATAATAGATAAAAACATCGAAAATACAACATATAAAATCACACCCTGACTCAACAAATAAGAGTCCCCAGAGTCAGGGCGTGACAATGATCAATGGCTCATTTGAGAGAAGACAACCCCCTGCGTTATGAAATCGGCAAGTATAGAAATCTGACGTATGATAGATGTTTTCGCGATCTAAAAGTCATATTCCTATTAACTTCCAGTGTAGTGAGAACGGCTTTATTGCAATGCTATGGCATACCGGCCAAATTTCTGCCTGCTTGAACAGCAATAGCTCAGATACACATGAAAACATGATACATCATATATTCCTAACTGAACACTCCACAATGTTGTGTGCTGCTGAATGCAGCTCAGGTTAAGCCAGTTCCAGTGTGCATTTCTGAATATATGTCTTTCCACACTTAGATCTGGAAGGAAAACTCCTTTGCTCTGTAAGGCAAATGCTGTTCTCCTTCATTATAGCATCGTTATAGCTTATTTTATTTTATGTAATGTGGAAATTCTTCAATTTTCAGCCCCTTCACTCTTGTTTGTTTGCACTGAGACCAAAGGCTTGGAAACTCCTGGACTAAGCAGGAGAACCGGTTGGTTGAGGACATCTTTTTGTGACATTTAAAACAAAACTGGGCAGAAGATGGTATCAGCATTGGACTGGTCTTTGGGGTGGGCATGCCATACATCAGGTCATGTCACAAAAAAAACTGTCACAGTTTCCCCCCAAATCATAAAACATAGCCTGTAACTGTGAGCTTAAATAAATGTATTTTTCTTTTTTAAAACATGTTGGTTGCTCTATTTAATTGATAGTATTTCAATGTTTATATAATTTATTAGTGGCATACCTAAGACATTACTAACATTTAGTTGAGGAATGTCATTGTAAACCGTAATTAGTCATGCTCATTGCTTAGTCAATACAGAATTGAAATAATGTTTTTTCAGTGTTTTTGGTCATATCCACTATAGAGGAGAGGAGTGAAATTCTCAGTTCTGTAGCAACAATTCCCATACTTTTTCCTTGTGAATGAAGATTGACATCTCTAACCAAATGTGTTTTCTACATTACATTAAATGGGTGTAACTGTCACAATTTTTATCCTGGCAGACATGACATGAAGGACACTAATTGAAAATGGATAGTGCAAATGCACACCAACACCACTTCACAGCTACATCATTACCGTTAGTTTGGCGCTTGCCAAAAATCCAAAATGTTATATCCCATATATGGACTAAGAATGTAAAAGGTGACCTCATTTGTCGGGGGAAATGGGGGTTGTAACCAATGCTATATATAAAACCTGGATTGCTAATACTATGTATTTGCCAATGAGAGGTTTTGAAGGCACTGGTCGGCCATATTGGCACTCCCCAGAAGAACCAGTTCTCCATAGGAATGAATTGAATTCTACAGTATTTCAATTAAATGTTTCAAGGACAAAATAACATGTATTTAAGTTTTTTTTTTTATGTAGTGGGGACAGTAACATAACTTTTTAAAAAAGTATACTTTAAGGAAACTGTTTTTATATATTTGTTCATTTTTTAAATGTCTATGTTTAGCTCACATAATATACTACAATTACGCATTAAGGTGTTTATAATATAATATACGTGGCAAAACCAAATGTACACATTAATAAATGCATTTCTATTGCTTCCAAAATATTTTTTACGCCGGTGGGGGAGTGCCAAGATGGAGGCGCGGTGGCTTCAAAGCAGCACCCCATGGAAATCATCTACTGTGTATATATAAAGCATTGATTGTAACCGCAGTAATTTAACTACGCCTTCTCCAGTCTGTGGTACCAGTAGGCATAATACAGGAAGAGAGTCGTGGAGGAAAATAAACGGGACGCCCTTCTTTTTTATACTCGCATAGTTCGTGGATAACGGAATCCAAAAAGTTATTCGGGGCCAACGCAGACAATAGCCCTGTTACATAAATAATATATCCAGCCATACTATTGACGTTTGACGACCTAGGTTCAATAGACCATCCACTACAAGCTGATGCTGATCATATTCATTTTTTCTCACATCAAGAGGAAAAAAAGCTCATTTCAAAATTTACCATGGATGATTTGGGTATGTATTGCAAATTGACCCTCTTTGAAACATTGTAGCTACGTGTTCCGCTATCTAATGGGATTGAAGAAGGATGGTTGGAGTACTGAGGCGAGGAAAAAAGTAACATTTTTGTTTTCTTGAAAGAGATCAATCTTTGTTGGAATATGGAGCGAAAGGAAATGGTTATTGAAATGGAATAGTTTGGAAAACAATGTTTTTCTTATAATCTATGATAATAGATAGGAACACGATTAGGCATAAGATATTACCTATAAATAGTACGATGTTTAAAAATGCATCTTGGGTCCTATTTCTATTAATCAAGCAACATTTTACTTATATTAGGTCATTTTAGACTTGAAAGAAACAGCCCTTATTCTCAAGTCTTTGTTATTGTGCCTATTGAGTCAGCTTTTGAATTTATCAGTATATCTACATTAGATGAAGGCCTAGCTAGTAACTACTGTATGGGTGGTCTCTTATAATCCATGCTTATGAGAGATCCTTATCTAGTGAAAATCCACTGGTTTCAATTGAATAACGTTTTTAACAATAGAACAACTCAAATATGATCTTCCAACTAAAATCTTGCTTTCTCTACATTGTGCTCCTCCTTTTTAAGGGAGGAAAGAAGAACAGGAAAGGCTTAATTTGGTGACATTTTTGTTTTACCACTCCAGCCATGTAAAACAGCATGAGCCCTTAACTCTATGCCAGGAAAACAAGGAGTATACTAATGTAACTGTATCCTATGTCAACATGCAGTGTTTCTAACTCGAACCACAAATTCAATCAATTCAGTGAAATTTGATCTTGGACATCCTCTGTAGGCCCTCTCTGTCTATAATGCTATCGGCGAGTCAGAGATGGACTTTAGTGAGCTTCATAACATAATAAAGATCTCAATGTATTTCATTCAGCCATCAGGGGAGAAGAGTGTAACTAACATTAGTGTTAGTGAACTACTGGGTGGATTTAATAGTTAGAAGAGTCCCATTCGAATGACTATTGATACAGAGGTTGAGGAATACATATATCCCTCTTTTCTTAAAAATGGTGGCAACTCACTGAGTTGTTTCAGCATGGAAAGCAATGTCCCAGCCCTCTTCACCTAGCACTGAAATAGCCTAGGGCCACGATGGCTCACCAAGACTCATGAAATTCAGTGAAAAAAGGAGGGTTGTGTGGAGCACCAGACCAGAGAACAAAACATTTGCTCTAGAGGCCAACTCGCTCGAAGTGTAGTGTGTGCAACATATTTCAAAACGGAGGGATTTTATGCTTAGCAAGCATGAGGAAGAATGTCTGCATCTGGTCCAGCACATCTGGATTGGATTGCACTTCAAGGTTCAGTTGTTGCTGGGTGACTGGCGACGTGATTCTCAAATAGAGGGACGGTGTTTATGTCGGTGTGTTATTGCTGTAGTGTTGTGTGCTATGTTGTAAGTTGGTGCGTTCGGTTGGTGTGACTTGTGGGGTTTTTCAGCGAGACCACTTGTTAAGAGAGGCTATGGCCAAGTCAAACAGTCGGCAGGCAGAGCTCTAAATATGGTCATATTTCACATTCAGAGAATTTCAACTCCTTATATGAGCAGTCCAGTCTGTAAGTGTGTGTGTGTGTAAGAGAGGGAGAGAGTGAGAAAGAATGTTTGTGTGTGTGTGCGTGTGTGTGTGCGTGTGCGTGTGCGTGTGTGCGCAAGCTAACAACATTCTCTCCAAATGTTTGTACCAGTGTGAATCATCAGTGGGAGAAATAACCACAGACAGTGATGATAAAAGGCAGCCTCACCAGCCCCAGTCATATGTAGGTTTAATATGTCTAACTCTTACCAAGACATTATGAATGTGACTAAAAACCAAATAAACTCTCAAATAAATACACTGAACTCAACTAAATATTCCAGTTTGAAAATGTAAAGTAGTCATTTTGCAAAATATCCTTATTTTGCTCTGAAGTTGCTCAAAAGTTGCATGAAGTGATGCTCTGTGCATCTTCCACAAATATTATTGTCAAAATAGATTTTCCTGGAAATATGGTTTGATAATTAATGTATTGTTTCAGATTCTGCATGGTTTGCAAAAGTAAACCATATAAGTTAGGAGAAAAGCTTATCTAATAATCCAATAAGACACATTGGCTTGGTTTTGGCCATAAAAGGGATACATCCATGATTTTTTTTTTTTTTTACATTTTAGTCATTTAGCAGACGCTCTTATCCAGAGCGACTTACAGTTATTGAGTGCATACATTTTCATACTGGCCCCCCGTGGGAAACGAACCCACAACCCTGGCGTTGCAAGCGCCATGCTCTACCAACTGAGCTACAGGGGACTACAATTATGAGTTGTAAAATACAGTATGCCATGGAGGAATACTAAGTTGGCATGTACTTCTAATTTTTTTACATTGAGGGAGTGATAGTGAAAATGAGGTTTGAGTTCAATATCAGTTGACAAACACCCATCCTCCACTGCTTCCTTATCACTTTGGCATGTCCAGAAAGGTCTAGAGAAATGTTATATTTTTCATGTGACTTTAGCTTGTTTACTCGTTTGATGTCCCTTGCTTTGATTGGTCAACGTGTTATTCTCGCTCTAATTGGCCCGCCTCTCTGTGTCCTCTCTGCTGCCTGCGTCTGATTTGCGTCTCTCTGATTGGTCACTGAGTCCGTCTGTCTCCCCTCAGGAGTGCCTGACTCACCTAACTACCCTCTCAGTCCTCGTATTGTTGTGTTTGGTACGTAACTGTCTGTATGTGTGTTTGTTTGTGTGTTTCACCCTCTTTCTGTAGTGTCTCAGTGTGTCAAAATAGTTTGCTTGTATGTCCTCACCTCCTCCATGTGTCCCTTTGTCATTCCATCTGTTTTCCATACTGTTTTCCTTCTATCATTTCCATTCCCATTCCCATTTCTCCGCTTGCTTGTTTTAAACCAGCATTAACCATCCACATAGGTATCAGCCAATACCTGTGTACTAACCACCCACCGAGGCAAAATGTATGACTGCACAGTATGAATGACAACATCTTGAATTCCTCTACAAAAACTCCCCTTGAAATAGAATCTCAAAAAATATATAGATTCTATTTCTATGCACACTCCCATCCTCTCTGACTCTGTAGACGCCCTCCTCGCTGACCTAGAGAGCACCAGCTCTCCCCTGGCCAGGTGCCCAGTCCTGCTTACCTCTGATCCCCCGGCGACATCTGACCCCGCCCCTGCCAGCCCTCAGGACCCCGCCCAGACCAGGCCACCGCCCCCAGCTTACACCCCCCAGCAGGTAAGAGGTTTGAGGTAGGACAGATTTTAAGAGGCTTGAGGTAGACTTAACAACTTGTATCAGATTACCTTAGCCCCAAACCTTAACCATTAGGAGGGGTGGAAATATATCTGAGCCTGAATCAGTGGTGAGGACCAACTTCTACCTACTCCAGGTGAGGTAAAAGAGAGAAGACAACACAGAACAGGCTGTTGGAAGTGTCTTATACTGTAGATAATTATCATATGCTAAAAGAGGATAGGTAGTAAGGAGGCATCAGACCCTGCTCAGAAACTCAACTTGCCAAAGTTAAATGTTTTTATAGAATAGTTATGAAGTACCATAACTCGTACTGTGTTGATGGGTGGGCATTGAGTTCAGAGCATAAGTGAGGATTGATTTTCTGGTTGAAAAACAAGTGAACTTTGTTTATAATGTGCAAACTTTTCTTTTAGACGGTTTCTGGTGCAATGAAGTCCAATGGTTCTCAGAACCCAAACCCAGACAAACAACTGTACAGGTACTATTTTCCTTTATTATTAGTTACTTTACTAAGTAAAACAGAATGGTCAAAGCAGCAGCGATTAAGCTGGTTCCACCAGGCTATTATTTTACAGCCCTATATGAAATAATATTATGGCCCTGGCTTTATTCATGAATATATAATGAATAGATTAATTAATTAATTAATTATACTGCAAAAACATCAAAGAACTGGCGCTACCCAAACCATCAAGGATAACATAATCAGGTCATGGACTTATTTCCATTGTGATGCTTTTACAAGAAAGATTGACAGCGAGATTGGTGATAAGTTGTTGCTCTCTCAGAGTCCAAGTTGTAACAGTCAAGAATTGAGTGAAAGATATTAGATAAAAGAGATAATATACCAGAAAAGTCTGACTTGTAAGTAAGTAATGAAGGAAAAGGAGAGAGATGTGCTTGCAGTGCATACTACTTTTAGAATTGTTTTGGTCTGTACAATCACCATTCTTCCTTCAGTACTCTTGGTCTGTGAGAGAAAACACTGCTGTTAGTTTCAGCCGTACTTTACTGTAAAGAAATATCCAACTATCCCTCCCTTACTGTCTTTTAAAAACATGATTATCTGTCTAACACCAGTCAGCTTAAATCTTAATGAATTTACTTCTGTAGATTGTTGTCAAAAGGCTGGGGCCCAACTTTTGGTGACATACTGAGCGTGTGCCACAGCTAAAGCACTGATGGGAGTCTGAACATTACCAATAAATATGTGTTCAAAAAAAGTGGGAGCTTTCCTTAGCTCAACAGCCCATTATGTTCCAGTTTTTTTCATTCGCTTTGGTGCTATTTTCACCAATAGTGTACAGCTGCAGCCTGCAATTCGGGGTGTTCCTTCACGTGGGCATTCCTGCATGCAGGAATGCCCACATGCAGGAACGGCCCAATTTGCATGCCGCAGTTGCACCCTTCTCATTTTCACAAGTACAGTGCCTTCAGAAAGTATTCACACCCCTTGACACTTTCCACATTTGGTTGTTACAAAGTGGGATTAAAATGGATTTAATTGTAATTTCTTGTCACAAAATACTGTAATGTCAAATTCGAACATTTGTAAAATAAAAAATAAAATAAAAAACGAATATATCTTGATTAGAGAAGTATTCAACCCAGTGAGTCAATACATATTAGAATCACCTTTGGCAGCGATTACAGCAGTGATTCTTTCTGGGTAAGTCTCTAAGAGCTTTCCACACCTAGATTGTGCAACATTGCCCATTATTCTTTTCAAAATTATTCAAGCTCTGTCAAATTGGTTGCTGGTCATTGCTAAACAAACATTTTCAGGTCTTGCCATAGATTTTCAAGAATATTTAATTTATTTTTTATTTAATTTAACCCATACAGTGAGGGAAAAAAGTATTTGATCCCCTGCTGATTTTGTATGTTTGCCCACTGACAAAGAAATGATCAGTCTATACTTTTAATGGTAGGTTTATTTGAACAGTGAGAGACAGAATAACAACCAAAAAATCCAGAAAAACGCATGTCAAAAATGTTATAAATTGATTTGCATTTTAATGAGCTAAATAAGTATTTGACCCCCTCTCAATCAGAAAGATTTCTGGCTCCCAGGTGTCTTTTATACAGGTAACGAGCTGAGATTAGGAGCACACTCTTAAAGGGAGTGCTCCTAATCTCAGTTTGTTGCCTGTATAAAAGACACCTGTCCACAGAAGCAATCAATCAATCAGATTCCAAACTCTCCACCATGGCCAAGACCAAAGAGCTCTCCAAGGATGTCAGGGACAAGATTGTAGACCTACACAAGGCTGGAATGGGCTACAAGACCATCGCCAAGCAGCTTGGTGAGAAGGTGACAACAGTTGGTGCTGTTATATATTATTATTATATTATTATTATTATATTATTATATTATCATTATATTATTATTATATTATATTATTCGCAAATGGAAGAAACACAAAATAACTGTCAATCTCCCTCGGCCCGGGGCTCCATGCAAGATCTCACCTCGTGGAGTTGCAATGATCATGAGAACGGTGAGGAATCAGCCCAGAACTACACGGGAGGATCTTGTCAATGATCTCAAGGCAGCTGGGACCATAGTCACCAAGAAAACAATTGGTAACACACTACACCGTGAAGGACTGAAATCCTGCAGCGCCCGCAAGGTCCCCCTGCTCAAGAAAGCACATATACATGCCCGTCTGAAGTTTGCCAATGAACATCTGAATGATTCAGAGGAGAACTGGGTGAAAGTGTTGTGGTCAGATGAGACCAAAATGGAGCTCTTTGGCATCAACTCAACTCGCTGTGTTTGGAGGAGGAGGAATGCTGCCTATGACCCCAAGAACACCATCCCCACCGTCAAACATGGAGGTGGAAACATTATGCTTTGGGGGTGTTTTTCTGCTAAGGGGACAGGACAACTTCACCGCATCAAAGGGACAAAAGATGGGGCCATGTACCGTCAAATCTTGGGTGAGAACGTCCTTCCCTCAGCCCGGGCATTGAAAATGGGTCGTGGATGGGTATTCCAGCATGACAATGACCCAAAACACACGGCCAAGGCAACAAAGGAGTGGCTCAAGAAGAGGCACATTAAGGTCCTGGAGTGGCCTAGCCATTCTCCAGACCTTAATCCCATAGAAAATCTGTGGAGGGAGCTGAAGGTTCGAGTTGCCAAACATCAGCCTCGAAACCTTAATGACTTGGAGAAGATCTCCAAAGAGGAGTGGGACAAAATCCCTCCTGAGATGTGTGCAAACCTGGTGGCCAACTATAAGAAACGTCCAACAAGGGTTTTGCCACCAAGTACTAAGTCATGTTTTGCAGAGGGGTCAAAAACGTATTTCCCTCATTAAAATGCAAATCAATTTATAACATTTTTGACATGCGTTTTTCTGGATTTTTTGGTTGTTATTCTGTCTCTCACTGTTCAAATAAACCTACCATTAAAATTATAGACTGATCATTTCTTTGTCAGTGGGCAAACGTACAAAATCAGCAGGGGATCAAATACTTTTTTCCCTCACTGTATACTTCAACAAAGTATTGACTCATGGGTGTGAATACTTATGTAAATTAGTTGTTTCTGTAGTTAATTTCAATCAATTTGCAAACATTTCTCAAAAACATGTTTTCACGTTGTCATTATGGGGTATGGCAGGGTTCCCCAACTGGCGGCCCACGGGTGGTTTTATTTGGCCCTCCAAGTTTTTTGTGTTTTCATTGTTGGACATAAAAGACGGTAAAAACACCAGGAAATCAACTCCAAGTGATTTTAATTTAAGAGATCTTTTACCAGGTATTCCCACGCATAATAGAGAGACGTGATCGTATACAAATGTAAGGTTTGAAATTATAATGGTTTAGTCAAACATTATATCTGTTTGGGCTTCTAGCGGTCAATTTGCAGTCTAAAAATTATTTCTAATTATGTTCCGGCCCCCAGACCATACGCTCAAGAAAAAATCAGCCCGCGGCTGAATCTAGTTGATAATCCCTGGGGTATTGTGTGTTGATGGGTGAGAAAAAATATAAACACAACAATTTCAAATATAGAACTTACAGAAATCAGTCAATTGAAATAAATTCATTAGGCCCTAATTTATGGATTCCACATTACTGGGCAGGGGTGCAGCCATGGGTGAGCCAGGCCCAGCCAATCAGAATTAGTTTTTCCCCACAAAAGGGCTTTATTACAGACAAATATACTCCCTCAGACGATCCCACAGGTGAAGAAGCCAGATGTGGAGGTCCTGGGCTGGCGAGGTTACACGTGGTCTGCGGTTGTGAGGCCGGTTGGACGTACTGCCAAATTCTATAAAACGACGTTGGAGGCAGCTTAGGGTAGAGAAATGAACAGCTCTGGTGGACATTCCTGCAGTGCTTACAATTGCATGCTCCCTCAAAACTTGAGACATCTGTGGCATTGTGTTGTGTGACAAAACTGCACATTTTAAAGTGGCCTTTTATTGTCCCCAGCACAAGGTGCACCTCTTAAGGATCGGACCCTTTTTTTCAATTTTCGCCTAAAATGACAGGAGCTGAAGCAAGGTTATACATATTCTTGATACCGTTTGAAAGGAAACACTTTGAAGTTTGTGGAAATGTGAAATTAATGTAGGAGAATATAACACATTAGATCTGGTAAAAGATAATACAAACAAAAAAACATGCGTTTTCAATTTTTTGGGGTTCTATCATCTTTGAAATGCAAGAGAAAGGCCACAATATAATATTGCAGTTTTGGCGCAGTTTAGATTTTGGCCACTAGATGGCAGCAGTGTGTGCGCAAAGTTTCAGATTGATCCAGTGAAGCGTTGTAATACTGGACTATTTTGTATCAAGTCTGCCCAAATGTGCCGAATTGGTCAATTGATACATTTTCAAGTACATAACTATAGAGAACATACAAAAATGATATGGTAATACAAAATGTAGGTTTACACACTCCCAGGAATGTCATACATGATGGATCATTAGCTTATACACTAACTTTCACACATCTAGATGGCCGGGCGGGGTGGGTGGGTGTGGAGCCAGAGACAGCAAGGGTTCAAACTGTAGAACCCAGTTCCCACATTTGAATATAAAAATGGATTTTATCAAACAAAACTATGATACATTTTATCTCTGGGACCCTCAGGATGACAAATCAGAGCAAGATTACTGAATGTAAGTACATTATTTACCTTCAGAGGTGAATGTATCAAACCAGTTGCCGTGATAAGTTTTTTGTTGTTGTGCACTCTCATCAAACAATAGCATGGTATTGTTTCACTGTAATAGTGCAGTTAGATTAACAATAATTTAAGCTTTCTGCCCAAATAAGACATGTCTATGTCCTGGAAAGTTTGCTGTTACTTACAACAGTCATGCTAATCACATTAGCGCACGTTAGCTCAACTGTCCCATATACGGGACACCAATCCCGTAGAGGTTAATCAGCTTCTTGATATGCCACACCTGTCAGGTGGATGGATTATCTTGGCAAAGGAGAAATGCTCACTAACAGGGATATAAACACATTTGTGCACAGCATTTGAGAGAAATACGTTTTTTGTGCATAAGAACATTTCTAGGATTTTTTATTTCAGCACATATATTGCGTTTATATTTTTGTTCAGTGTACTTTCTGAAGGCACTGTAGGTGTACTGTAATCAAATGAAATAATTGAAAGAAACAATGTTTAAAATAAAAAAATATATAAATAATGTTTTATTAGCAGGCACTAGTTTGCTTCAAGCCTGTCTTAAGCATTTGGCCATAGGTTCTCATTGACATCACAGTAAATGTCCTCATTGTTCATGCATCTGGGGTAAATTCTTTTGGCATGGAGAATCCAAGCCTGACATAGGTCGGGATTGATGTCATTGCATGCCTCATCCATGGCCTGAAGGAGGTTGGCACGCTCATGGGGATTGTATTTTACAGTATTGTATTGTACTTATGGATTGTAGTGGTCCTGTGTGGCTCAGTTAGTAGGAGCATGGCACTAGCAACACCAGAGTTGTGGGATTGATTCCCACTGGGGTCACATACAAAAATGTGTGGACTCACTGTTGTCACTGGATAAAAGCGCCTGCTACTTAAATGGCATATATTAGAGTACTGCGTTGCCCAATGCAATTTTAGTAAATCAATGTGGAACCCCGCCCCTCATTAAAAAGACGCTGGTAAGTTCATTTTAGATATATGTTTACTGTAATGGGGTTGCCTTTGTGACATACATCTCTGATCTTGTCAATATCAGATAAATAAATAAAATCATAATAGTCATCATCATAATAGTACATGTTAAAACCTTAACTTGTTTTTACTGTAACTTACTGGCAGCCGTTACCTGTAAGTTACTGTAAAAAAGTTACAGTATGCTACTGTAAATTCCAAAGAAACTTTGGTTTAACGGTACATTACTGTAAAGAAGTGGTTTCTTTACAGTAATGTACAAGAGCTCCACCTCGTTCTTCACTGGTCGAAGGGCCTCCAGCCGTAGCTACACCTCATTGTTTGTTGGTGGAAGGGCCTCTAGCTGGTGCTCCACCTCGTTCTGCTCTGGTGGAAGGGCCTCCAGGCGGAGCTCCACCTCATTCTTCGCTGGTGGAAGGGCCTCCAGCCGGAGCTCCACCTCGTTGTTGGTCGGTGGAAGGGTGACCAGCTGGAAACATTTTTTATTTGCAGGGTGTATTGAGTTGATGATTCTGGGGTAGTTGCTTCACTGTCAGTCCAAAATTGCCAAACTGTGAGGTTGCATGTAACAAAGCATAATTTTACTACATAAACTGTGTTCAGCTTTGATATCATAATTGGCTACTGCCGCTTTCTTCAAAGGTTGCTTTAGGTAAGCTTTGGCCTTTTGGTGCATAGTCTGCCCTGTCTGACGCGGTAGGATACATAACCTTCGATTGGCAACAGTTGGATAGAAGCATGCAATGAAGCAACCACCACAGAATCCTCAACTCAATAGCTCTTGCAAATAAAACATGTCCCTTGAGTTTTTTGGTCTCTGGATATGCTGCTAATATTCTCAAGTCTGGATCATTTGGGATCATGCCAACCCTCATTATCTCTCTTGGAAATTAATTTGCTTCGAAAGGCCTTCCATGAACCCATCTTATCCACAAATTATAATAATCCATTTAGGTTCACATGGGTCTGATATCAGATTAGAAAGACAACATTGCATGATTTCCCCCCAACTTGATTGAATTACTTTGATTGATGGCCTTTTGTTGAGGAGAAAAACCAGTGAAAGACTGCCGTCTGATTATTGGTTTTGCGGTGTCCCAATGTAAATGCTACATTGTAGAGTTTACACTTTATACATGATAGGGTTATTTTTCAGTAGTTTTACCTTAAGAGGGTTTGCGAACAGGGTCCGAATTATTCGGGTGCCAAGAATGTGCATTCCTGTAACAAACCAGGAGGGCATCAGGTACATTTTTATATACATTATATTTATGAATGTTTATAAAATATTTATATCATATTGTTGAATATATGAATGTTGGTTCAGTCCACTATTTCTACCCCCCCCCCCCCCCCCCCCCCCCCCAATTCATTTGTTTGTATTTTGAAGACCGTTTGAGTTATAACATTCTTTCCCCATCTATCTCTCCTTTTCACTCTCTCTTTCTCTCTCCCTCTCTCTCCCTATCTCCCCCCCAGCACGGTGAATAAGCCTCGCTCCCCCCGCACGGCGGACCCTCCCCCTCCAGCCTTCTCCTCCTCCTCTGTGTTAGGAGGGGGTCTGAGCGAACTGGACCACCTTCTGCAGGAGCTCAATGCCACCCAGTTCAACATCACAGGTCAGTATAGGCTTGACCTCACATGCCTACCACTTTGAAAATGCAAAAAAAAAATTGTGTGTGAAATAAGACAAAAAAAACAGAAAACTTGAGTGTGCATAACTATTCACTCCCCCAAAGTCAATACTTTGTAGAGCCACCTTTTGCAGCAATTACAGCTGCAAGTCTCTTGGGGTATGTCTCTATAAGCTTGGCACATCTAGCCACTGGGATTTTTGCCCATTCTTCAAGGCAAAACTGCTCCAGCTCCTTCAAATTGGATGGGTTCCGCTGGTGTACAGCAAACTTTAAGTCATACCACAGATTCTCAATTGGATTGAGGTCTGGGCTTTGACTAAGCCATTCCAAGACATTTAAATGTTTCCCCTTAAACCACTCAAGTGTTACATTAGCAGTATGCTTAGGGTCATTATCCTGCTGGAAGGTGAACCTCCGTCCCAGTCTCAAATCTCTGGAAGACTGAAACAGGTTTCCCTCAAGAATTTCCCTGTATTTAGCGCCATCCATCATTCCTTCAATTCTGACCAGTTTCCCAGTCCCTGCCAATGAAAAACATCCCCACAGCATGATGCTGCCACCACCATGCTTCACTGTGGGGATGGTGTTCTCGGGGTGATGAGAGGTGTTGGGTTTGCGCCAGACATAGCGTTTTCCTTGATGGTCAAAAAGCTCCCACATGGCTTTTGGCGAACACCAAACATGTTTGTTATTTTATTTTTAAGCAATGGCTTTTTTCTGGCCACTCTTCCGTAAAGCACAGCTCTGTGGAGTGTACGGCTTAAAGTGGTCCTATGGACAGATACTCCAATCTCCACTGTGGAGCTTTGCATCTCCTTCAGGGTTATCTTTGGTCTCTTTGTTGCCTCTCTGATTAATGCCCTCCTTGCCTGGTCTGTGAGTTTTGGTGGGCGGCCCTCTCTTGGCAGGTTTGTTGTGGTGCCATATTCTTTCCATTTTTTAATAATGGATTTAATGGTGCAAAGTTTCGGATATTTATTTATAATCCAACCCTGATCTGTACTTCTCCACAACTTTGTCCCTGACCTGTTTGGAGAGCTCCTTGGTCTTCATGGTGCTGCTTGCTTGGTGGTGCCCCTTGCTTAGTGGTGTTGCAGACTCTGGGGCCTTTCAGAACAGGTGTATATATACTGAGATTATGTGACAGATCATGTGACACTTAGATTGCACACAGGTGGACTTTATTTAACTAATTATGTGACTTCTGAAGGTAATTGATTGCACCAGATCTTATTTAGGGGCTTCATAGCAAAGGGGGCGAATACGTATGCACGCACCACTTTTCCGTTATTAATTTTTTTGAATTTCACTTCACCAATTTTGACTATTTTGTGAATGTACATTACATGAAATCCAAATAAAAATCCCTTTAAATGACAGGTTGTAATGCAACAATATAGGAAAAATGCCAAGGGGGTTAAATACTTTTGCAAGGCACTGTAAACAAGGTCATCTTCATACTGTTGAGAGTGTGTGTGTGTGTGTGTGTGTGTGTGTGTGTGTGTGTGTGTGTGTGTGTGTGTGTGTGTGTGTGTGTGTGTGTGTGTGTGTGTGTGTGTGTGTGTGTGTGTGTGTGTGTGAGCAACATTTTCTCAACATGTGGTATTCATGCGTTGTGTGCTCGTCTTTGGTTGGTAGATGAAATTCTGGCCCAGTTTCCCACCACTAAAAAGGACGAGAGGGACAAGATAAAGGAGTTCCAGGGGTCCAGGGACAAGGTCACAACACCCTACCCCAGGTACCCATATACACCCTCTATATACCCTAAAGCAGGGATCACCAACAAGATTCAGCCTCGGGACGATTTCTTCTTGAACGGATGGTCGGGTGGCCGGAACATAATTACAAATAATTTGTAGACTGCAAATTGACCGCAAGATTCCCAAGCAGATATAATATTTGACTAAAACGATAATTTTGGACCTTCCTTACATTTGTATATGATCATGTCTCTCTATTATGCGTGTGAATACTTGGGAACAGATTTTCAAAATTAAAATGACTGGTAGCTGATTTTCTGGTGTTTTTACAGTATTTTATGTCCAACAATGAAGATTCAAAAAATATATACAGTACAGTCAAAAGTTTGGACACACCTACTCATTCAAGGGTTTTTCTTTATTTTTTCTACATTGTAGAATAATAGTGAAGACATCAAAACTATGAAATAACACATATGGAATTAGGGCGGCAGGTAGCTTAGTGGTTAAGAGCGTAGTGCCAGTAACCGTAAAGGTCGCTGGTTCTAATCCCCGAGCCGACTAGATGAAAAATCTGTCGATGTGCCCTTGAGCAAGGCACTTAACCCTAACTGCTCCTGTAAGTCGCTCTGGATAAGAGTGTCTACAAAAATGTAAATATGTAGTAACCAAAAAATGTTCAACAAATCAAAATATATTTGAGATTCCTCAAAGTAGCCACCCTTTGCCTTGATGACAGCTTTGCACACTCTTGGCATTCTCTCAACCAGCTTCATGAGGTAGTCACCTGGAATGCATTTCAATTAACAGGTGTGCCTTGTTAAAAGTTAATTTGTGAAATGTCTTTCCTTAATGCGTTTGAGCCATTCAGTTGTGTTGTGACAAGGTAGGGGTGGTATACAGAAGATAGCCCTATTTGGTAAAATACCAAGTTCATATTATGGCAAGAACAGCTCAAATAAGCAAAGAGAAACGACAGTCCATCATTACTTTAAGACATGAAGGACAGTCAATCTGAAAAATTTCAAGAACTTTGAACGTTTCTTCAAGTGCAGTCGCAAAAAACATCAAGCACTATGATGAAACTGGCTCTCATGAGGAACGCCACAGGAAAGGAAGACCCAGAGTTACCTCTGCTACAGAGGATAAGTTCATTAGAGTGACCAGCCTCAGAAATTGCAGCCCAAATAAATGCTTCACAGAGTTCAAGTAACAGACACATCTCAACATCAACTGTTCAGAGGAGACTGCGTGAATCAGGCCTTCATGGTCGAATTGCTCCAAAAAAACCACTACTAAAGGACACCAATAATAAGAAGAGACTTGCTTGGGCCAAAAAACACGAGCAATGGACCTTAGACCGGTGGAAATCTGCCGTGTCTTTGTGAGACGCAGAGTAGGTGAACGGTTGATCTCCGCATGTGTGGTTCCCACCGTGATGCATGGAGGAGGAGGTGTGATGGTGTGGGGGTGCTTTGCTGGTGACACTGTCTGTGATTTATTTAGAATTCAAGGCACACTTAACCAGCATGGCTACCACAGCATTCTGCAGCAATACACCATCCCATCTGGTTTGCGCTTAGTGGGACTATCATTTGTTTTTCAACAGGACAATGACCCAAAACACACCTCCAGGCTGTGTAAGGGCTATTTGACCAAGAAGGAGAGTGATGGAGTGCTGCATCAGATGACTCAGCCTCCACAATCACCCAACCTCAACCCAATTGAGATGGTTTGGGATGAGTTGGACCGCAGATTGAAGGAAAAGCAGCCAACAAGTGCTTAGCATATGTGGGAACTCCTTCAAGATTGTTGGAAAAGCATTCCAGGTGAAGCTGGTTGAGAGAATGCCAAGAGTGTGCAAAATTGTCATCAAGGAAAAGGGTGTCTACTTTGAACAATCTAAAATCGAAAATATATTTTGATTTGTTGAACATTTTTTGGTTACTACATGATTCCATATGTGTTATTTCATAGTTTTGATGTCTTCACTATTATTCTACAATGTAGAAAATACTCAAAATAAAGAAAAACCCTGGAATGAGTTGGTGTCCAAACTTTTGACTGGTACTGTATATATATATAAAAGTGTTCAGAAAACCTGGGGGACCAAATAAAATCTCCTTTGGGCCAAATTTGGCCCGCGGGCCGCCAGTTGGGGAACCCTGCCCTAAAGGCCTAAACACTATGTCTGCGTCCCAAATGGCACACTATTCCCTTTATAGTACACTGCTTTTGACCAGGGACCCTAGGGCTCTTGTAAAAAGTAGTGCACTATATAGGGAATAGGGTGCCTTTTGGAATGCATTCCATTTTGATCCAGGATACTGTCTATTTAGTGCTCTTACTATATTTTAAGTGTGTTTATTGCTAGGTGTTCAGTTAAAGGACCAATCAGCAGTTGAAGCAATAACAATGTTTTGGTAAAAAGCTGAGGGATGGGCCTGGAGAAATGTAATCACTCTCAAATTCGTAGTCTGAGCTATGGATGCAATCACTGACCATTTACAATGGTTTCAAGCATTGGAGTAACACAAGCTTATATTTGGGGTTCTTATGGGGTATAACAGTTGAACTAAGCTCATGAGGCATTCGTAGTTTAGATTCTCTTCAAGAATCAATGGGTATATATGATTAATGTATAAATCAAAAAATGGATGTAGCAACTGCAGATTGCCCCTTTAACTCCTTCCCGAGTTGTGTTCATTAGGGAAAGCTTTTATGAATGTTTTTTAACGGAAAATGAATGTTTCTTATTTTCTTAAGTCAAGGTAGTCCCTCCCTGTTTCAGTCCGTTTTCTTCCATTTGACTAATGAACACGATCCTGTACTCTAGTTGTGTTCATCCTTTATCTTTTGTTATGTCTGAAATGTTGTCTCTCCAACTGAAAAAGCTTAACCTGTGTTTTAAATGATAAAATAAATGTATTAATTCATTCAGTTCGGTGAAGCCGTCAGCCACCTCAGCTACACTTGAGCTGGACAAACTCATGGCCTCTCTGTCTGACTTCAGAGTCCAGAGCACAGTAAGAGCCCCAACACCAACCTGTACATTTCACATTAAACACTACATCCTGTACGCTACTGCACAGTCTAGTTCACAACAGGCAACATTTTTGTGATGCAAAAGAGCACAGATTTGTGACAAAATACTGTAAACCTCATTTTAATCTGGCAGTGTAATTTAACTTTAAACTTTTCTTCAACAAAGTGTGTGATCAGGTGACGGCTCTTTATGCATTGCTCAGTTTACTGAACACACATTGTTGTAGAAAAGTAAAAAATGAAATCACGCTGCCAGATTATAGTGATGTTTACATTTAATTTTTTTATAGCTCTGCGCTCTTTTGCACCACGAAAATATTGCAGATCATCTTATAATACTGTATATACAGTACAATGTTATTGATGCATTGCATTTATATATAGTCCTCTTTCTCTCTCTGCTTGTCTATCGTTATCCTCTCATGCTCTACGCATTAAGAACGCTACAGAGTTCAAAACCGCGGAGCCGCAGAGCCATGCGGTCTATTGTGACGTACGTCGCCCGCGACTCGATAACAGCCAGTTAAATGAGGTTCGTAAATGGGCCGCGCGGACTGTCGCGTCTCTGCGGCTGTGCACTCTGAATTTACCTCTACTCGCTGTATACAAGTATATGCTTGTCTGTCTCTGTCCTTCCATGTCTGCTTGCCAGTGTCAACGGTTGCGTTTCAGGTTGTCTTTATTGCAGTCGATGCTGCACATCTCAGATTGCCATATCATATTGATGTAGTTCCCTGAGATTTTACTTGTCTCAGGGAAGTATTCACAAAGCTTCCAAGAGTAGGAGTGCTGATCTAGGATCAGGTCCCCCCTCTTATTCATTATTATTTAAAAGGCAAAACCGATCATAGATCAGCACTCATACTCTGAGATGCTATGTGAATATGGGTTCAGATCTCACAATGCCTGATGACTTCACCAGGTATTGTGAGATCTGATAATCAGTGTAGTGCGACTGCAATATAGACGACTTGGAACGCCCATTCAGTTCAACTAATTCAAAAGCATGACAATAATCACCATGCACTCTCTGGTCCTAATGCATCCTAATCCCATTGACATTTGTGTCACACGTGATCATTGGTTTGTTATCTAACTGTCCTTCTCTCTTATTAGTCAGCTCCAGCTGTCCCGCCAGTGATCACAGTACCACAGCAGCCAGTCCCACCCCCACAAGCCTCTTCCGGCGGCTCATTGGACAGTATGCTGGGGCTCCTCCAATCGGATTTAACCAGGCAGGGAGTCCCCACATCCTCCAAGGGTAGCTGCTCGGCCTGTCAGAAACCGGTTGTAGGACAGGTGAGCGCTCAACACTGTCCCATTGTAGAGATTCTTCCTGTACCTTGTAGAACATTTAAAAAAATGCTAAGAAAGTTCTTAACTTTGTTCTGTAATGCATCAAATTTGTGCTTAATCTATGGGCAAGCCAGTACCCTTTTCACACTTGTGCTAACCCAAACCCCACTGTGCTGGCTCAAATGTTTTCTTTTAACACTGTCCTGTGCAGCATGGTTCCAGTAACTATGGTGGATGCATAACCAGGCCAGCTCAGTACAGTTTGGTTTGGCTTGGCTCGGTTTGGTTCAGTAGTGCAAAAAGCCCTTAAATGACTAACCTTTCACCTTTGACCCTCCAGGTGGTGACTGCTCTGGGGCGGGTATGGCACCCGGAACACTTTGTGTGCTCCGAGTGTGAGACGGAACTGGGCAGCCGGAACTTCTTCGAAAAGGACGGTCAGCCGTACTGCGAGTCGGACTACTTTACACTCTACTCTCCCCACTGCGCACACTGCAACAAGCCCATACTCAATGTAAAAGCTCCACCTGACACTGTGTGTTTGTGTGTGTTTGTATGTGTTTGTGTGTGTTTGTGTGTGTTTGTGTGTGTGTGTGTGTGTGTGTGTGTGTGTGTGTGTGTGTGTGTGTGTGTGTGTGTGTGTGTGTGCAGGAGTGTGTGTGTGTGTGTTTACTGTCTACTTCACCACAAATGTCTATGTAATTACTGTACGTAAAACGGTGTCAAAATTAATACATTGTGTTTACCTACTGTATATAACACATTTCCTCCATTACACTCCTTCTCATTTTTCATGAACATGTCCAGTGATATTAGCCTTAGTTATACAGCCCTTACAAAAGTGTGTATGCCACCTGAAGCCATAAAAACTGTTTTCTGTGTTGCCTGTGTAGAAAATGGTCACCGCCCTGGACAAGAATTGGCACCCGGAGTGTTTCTGTTGCGTCAAGTGCAGCCGGGCGTTTGGAGAGGAAGGTAATAAACCCACGCTTCCTGCCAAGGGCCACACTGGGATGTAGACAATAATGAACCACAGGTTGTTTTGTTACATGGTCCTCAGCAATACAACACCAGACAACACACTTACTGGGTCATTCCACGAAAAGAGTGCCTTTTGCAGCCCTTTGATATTTTAATTAGAAATTGTGCACCAATATTGCATTTTAAAAGCCTGTTATATTAAATGAAGTGCCTTTTAATAATATAAACCACATGGAGAATTGTTCCTATTTTTCTGACTTCAAGGAAGATTTTAACCCACTTAACACCCAAATTTCCCAAAGTTTTCACCATCTTATTTAGTTTTCATCTTCTTTTTGCCCTAGTTCTTTTGTTGCTTTGACAAAGTAATTATTAAATATTATTATTTAAGTGATTCATTTACATTTTAAGGTCAATCCTGTTATGTGAACTGAACTCTCGTTTTAATATGGGGAAACAATTCCTTAAAAAAAAAAATATTCAAAAGGAACATTGAACATGTAAGAGTCAAATCATGGTGTAAAAAGCAGGTGAGCTGGTTCTACTCTTTTTGGCCATTTGCTGGTGTTTTGTGGTAGAAAACGTTGAGGATAACACGTCAACCCTGTTACCAATAGATAGAATGGATAGAAATGTTTTAACAACTTTTTGTTAAGCTTGCTTTATATCACCACGATGGGAACGAGAAAGCATGTGCATGCTCGCACATGGAAAACTATCGCTCGAGTCCAACAAAATGGAATATAACATTACGGATAAAGTTCGGAATGACACAATTTCATGTGTACAACATCTAAAGACCTGCATCACTATACTGAGAGCGTTGCAGTTTCTAAAATGATGTATTTTGGTGTTTTGGAGCCTTTGTTCATGTTTTATCCATGCCCTGGCACTGCAGAACTAGCCTGAGAAAGTATATTGCTGGTGTGGTAAGTTTCTCAAAACCAAGTGAAATCGCCAAAAAAGTGTCTGGACACTTCTATAACATAAACAATTTAGATTTGGTTCAAAATAAGTCAACTTGTCCTTTAATTGGCACTTTACCTGTTATTTAATTTGACATTTTTATTAATTTGACCTCTTGAGATGGGAATGGTTTTTTATGAAGTTTACCATTTTTATAACAAAATGTTAAAATTAGGTGAAAAAAAAAAAATATTGCACAAATTACACTACGCAAAAGCCACTCTTTACATGGAGTGACCCTACTACTGTGGCTTACACACACACGCATTACTTCATTACTTCAATTTGGCATGTATTTTGGCATATATTTCAATGAGTGAATGTAAATGTACTACCATGTATTTGGAATACATTTTGTATATGCTTCTTGATTTGTTTTACATAATACTTAACCGCCTGTGTCCCCTCCCCTCTCTGTAGGTTTCCATGACCGCGAGGGTCAGCAGTACTGCCAGCAGTGCTTCTTGTCCCTCTTCGCCTCCCGTTGCCAAGGATGCACCCAGCCAATCCTGGAGAACTACATCTCTGCCCTCAACTCCCTGTGGCACCCGCAGTGCTTTGTGTGCAGGGTAAGTGTGTGTGTGTGGGGTGGGGTCTGTGTCCTTATGTCAATAATGAATATCTGTTAAAAGATTGGCCTAACAAAGACACTTGTTACAAATGTGAATTGAATACCACACAAACCACACATTTATTTTAATCACATGTTCATCTCCAACTCAACTCCTTTTACCCTTTGTCATGTCTACAGGAGTGTTATTGCCCCTTCGTCAACGGCAGCTTCTTCGAGCACGAGGGCCAGCCGCTGTGCGAGGCCCACTACCACCAGTCACGCGGCAGCATGTGCCAGGCGTGCCAACAGCCCATCCTTGGCCGCTGCGTCACTGCCATGGGTGCCAAGTTCCACCCGCACCACCTGGTGTGCCACTTCTGCCTCAAGCCCCTCAGCAAGGGCTGTTTCAAAGAGCAGGAGAACAAGCCCTACTGCCACCCCTGCTTCATCAAACTCTTCGGCTGAGCACCGAGAAGGACGCTGTCCCTCCTATGCTCTCTTGTTCCATAACTCCCATACCAGGTGTATGTCGTGTTCATTAGGGCACATAACGGGTAACAATATAAAATGTTTTGCAACAGAAAAAGTAAATGAGCATTTCTTATTGGACAAGTCCAGGTCCGTCCCTGTTTCAGTGCGTTTTCTTCCATTTGGTGCCTAATGAACACGACCCAGCTCTTTTCTCGTTGCGAAGTCGAACAAATATCTGTCAGACATTTTGTTTTGTCGCAGAGAATGAGAGAGAGAGATCAGAGCTGGACTCTTTCTGGGTTATAACATTTTACATTTACATTTTAGTCATTTAGCAGACGCTCTTATCCAGAGCGACTTACAGTTAGTGAGTGCATACATTTATTTTTTATTTTTCATACTGGCCCCCTGTGGGAATTGAACCCACAACCCTGGCGTTGCAAACGCCATGCTCTACCAACTGAGCTACATCCCTGCCGGCCATTCCCTCCCCTACCCTGGACGACGCTGGGCCAATTCTGCGCCGCCCCATGGGTCTCCCGGTCGCGGCCGGCTACGACAGAGCCTGGATATAAGACAATATTGGCGACTAGAAAGAGAAAGGGAGAGAGAGAAAAGGCTAAGACAATCCAATTCTCTATTAGACTGGTACCATGCAGGTAAAACTGGTTGAAATTATGTTATAATGAACATTTCAACCAGTTTTGTCCGCAGGGTACACAGAAATCTAAATGTGACAGAGGCCAACAAAAATATTTGAGTGAGAAGGGAGCATAGATCACCAAGACACACAGATGACCAATGCAGAAGCCATAACTACACTTTTGAGGAAGTTTTCCAAAGAGAAAATAATAGAAAGTTGTTATCACATGGTGTATGTAAATCCATGACCTATTGATTCAAATGGAATATTGACCACTGAATTGTTAGAAATTATTGAAATTTACATTTTTGATGGTATCGAATGGAAACTTTTTATGAACATTTTGATGAAGGATTTTTATTAAAATCCCATTTAATATATTTGCTTTACATTGCAAAGTATAATTATCACTGCTATTGCATTTATATATTGATATATTGAGAAATGTAGGCTACCATGAATCGCAGTTGTTGTAGTGCCAAAGATTTAACAATGTTTTTTCACCATTGTGCTATGCAATTATGTATAAAGAATACCAAAGAGTAAAATAAACACCATTTTGTTCTGCCCTGACTTTGGAGTTGAGTGAATTTATTCCCGTTTCAATAAATACAAATCCATTCTACTTTGCATGTAGAAACAAGCAAAGTAACATTATTTTCATTTTGATCTGACTGTTGTTAACATGCTTATCACCAGTAGTATTTCAAGCTACAGCATAATTATGGCTCTTGCATGCAAAAATGCGTTTTCTAATTCACAGAGGGAATGCGCATGTATATTTTCTTTCAGATGCCCCGCCCCCGACAGGTGTGGTCATTTAAAACGGTAATGACTATGCAAAGACGTCTAAAAAGAGAAAGGTAAACCGATGCGTAGAAGTGTAATATTTTCCGAAAATATTCAATGAGTGACTCAAAACAACAAGTAAGTTGACCGTTTTTGCGCTTCTTCATGTGCAAAGCTGAGATACACATTCGGCTAAACCTTTCATCATTCTCAAAACAAATAAACCTTTCATCATTCTCAAAACACCTAGTCTACACGTGCTGCATCACATGCGTCGAATACACGCGAATGGTCATACATCAAAGTTGTTGTCGCAATCGAGTCTAGTTAATTCTAAATTGCATGTGAAGTTATTCAATTGCGGTAGTATCGACAGCAGATGTCACCCTTGTATTTTCCTCCCTATGTACCTTCTTTCAGGAGACTGAAACCACAGTCTCTCAACCTCAGTGGCCCGAGAACGGAGGCCAATGGAGCGATGAAGAAGGGGGGGCAGGCATGGACGAGTGTGGTTTGGCAGAAATGGCAGAGGAGGATGAGGAAATAGATATCTACAACGATGAGACGTTTGGAATGGGTATGTATGTTTTTTAAACTGTTTTAAAGGAAGAGTACTGACGCACCAATGCATCAATATAAGTAACATAATAAAACAATCCACATCAAAATCTGTCAATTTAAGCTATTTAAGCATCTCAATCTTCCCCACCTGCTTATGTCGGCCTTCCGCATATGCGGTGGAAAGGGCCGCGCTACAGCTGTGTTTGTCAGACCATGAGACATCCTGAAAATCGGTCTTCTCACGAAAACGTCTGTAGAGTCCGAACGGGTTGGCCTAAAAACTATTATTACTATTACCTCTCTATGGAAAGGGAAGACTCACGAACACGATGGTGTTCTATGACTCCCACAAGTGTCAAGATACTCCGCAGAAAGTAACCCATACAAACCAATGGAAGTATGGAGGTCATTTTGTGCCAACAAAAATAAGGGGTTAAATGTGTCCAAATAAACAAAAATATTTCCTGAGCTTTCTTATCTCCTAGATATAGGACAAACACTTCAAAACCTTATTCCTTATGATTAATTTTGTCTGTCTTTTTTTTGCCATTTATGAATGTTATTCAATGCGTATCTATGGGCTATAGTAGTAATAAAAAATATACCTAAAGGGGTCCTAAAAATCTAATGGCTAAATGATCCATGGTATGACTATCTTTAAACAATTCCATATGTTAGCTTAGTAACCTCCCACAACGGCTTTTTAGAGGTGACAGCAAGTGCCAAGAATAAAGCTAAATAGATTCAGGTATGACGTAAATGATTATTTTTAAATGTTTTACAATGGGCCTCTCTAGATATGGATACAGGAGTGGGGGAAACAGAAGGGGATCCCACCAACCCTCTGCTCCAATTTGGAGCACAGCCACCTGCCCCACCTGCCTTGCCATCCCTCTCCCCCAGCTCCCCCTCCTTCTCTCCCAGGGCCAGGCCACAACTCCGGGTCCAGGGCCCTCCGGGCCTACGGGGACGCGGAAGGGGACAGAGAGGAGGTCAGGCCATGGCGCAGATGTTTGAAGACCCAGCTGTGGTGAGGACTGTGGAGGGGCGACCGAGTTTGCAGGTGAGTCACTACTCTTGAGAGGTCAGTTGTGTCTAGTAGGAAGAAAATGTTTTGAAACGGGATGTAATACTTGAACTTGTCCAATAAGACACGTTTTTGTTTTCTATTGCAAAACGTGTCCTCATTCAACCATTTTATTCTAGGGTTTCTAGTTTACACATTACCATTTATGTTTGTTATTATTTCCTCAGAGCTTGGACAGCGCTATAGTGGATGTTGGGAGTGTCTCCTACTGGGATGATCCAGATGCTGTGAGTGTCATTTGTCACAACCCCATTCTGATGACAAAATATATTTACTGTCGTTTGACCTACTCTGCTCTTTTCTCACACAGTGGATGCTACAATCTTATGAGAAAACCAGACACACCTCTGGATCAGTATTACAGGTAGTGGGCATTACATGTGGAAGACTAACAATACAGTATATTACCACTTTTTCAAATAAATCTGATACCGAAAATGAAGGATTATGGCATGTTTAGTAGCATTAGACTCTAATGGTTCGTTTGGCACATTTGGGTGTTCTGTCTTTCGACAGGACCCGGCCATTGTGTGTGTGATGGACAGTCATGCCCCTGGCAGAGGACCGAACTACCTGGATTCTCACTACCCATTCTCCAACTCCAGTGGGAGGAGAGGGGGCCCAAGAGGGTCATACTTAAACAGACCATTTGGGCAAAGATGCCCATCTCAGGTAATTGACTGGTGGAGTAGTTGTCTTAAGACTTGGGCACAAGGGGGAGATGGCCAAAGATGGTCAATTGCTGGGAAGTTGGCCTGAATCTTTGGCACATTTTTGTTGAAAGACTATGGAACACACTGCCCAGTCTATGGCCGACGACAAATGTACATTTGTTTAACTTCTCCTCTTGCAGATTAATACAATGATGCCCAGCTCTCCCATCGTCTCCCAGCGACCTTTCACCCCACAACAGCATTATAACCAGGTTCCTGCCTTCGCATCAATATTTCCCCTATTGTGTACATTTCGAAATAATCTGCTCACAATTGGTATGAATTTGTTAATGTATCTGTGCATACCAGAAGCATGTAGGGAGATGTAATTCTTTAGTTCTGTTGGTTTGAGTTGTAATGGAGACGTTCTGTTCGCTCAGACTGGGGGCTTCCTCTCGCCCTCACCACGTCCCTGCCCCTCCACCCCTCAACCTCTGACCCCAAAGATGATGCAGCTTCGCTTTGGTGCAAACTCTCCAAGACCCTCTCCCTTCTACAGCCCCTCGTCAAATCGTGTGCAGCGATTCAGGTCTGTGTCGTATTAAAATTTTGTTCCAAACCTTTCTGAGTGAAGAACCTACAAGGACAAGAGTTGGGGACACCTGCTCTGGTTCTTTTTTCGCTCATCAGATTGTGGTCAGAGACAATGTGATCACATTATTTTATCAAATGGCTTATAATTCTACTGCAGCTTCTTAGAGATAAATATGGTTTGACATATAGTTGTTACTTATGTCTCTCCCCCACAGGTTCCCTGGTCCCGTGACACAGCTTCACCCCCAACACAGACGACTGTTGAGTCAAAGGCAACCGAGATCCCAAAGGTGTGGCATGTGCTTCTACTTATTTTAAGTTTACTTATATTTGATATTATTGAGTGAGTTTTGTCTAGAGATCGAATAAACTCTTATCATATTCAACCTGGCTGCTCTTAATATTGCTGCAAACGTGTTGCTTCTTGGATGCATTAGTTTAAACACTAACCTCTTATTTCCCAGACTATATTCCTGGACTAAAAAGCACTTTCAATGGAGATTCTCTATTGTGCTAGCTTTTTAGGACAGGATATGCTTGAGCCCTATTCGGACGGTATTCATTTTACTAGGGGAGGTCGTGTAATGTAATTATGTGCACGAGCGTAAAACACATCTTAATTTCAATCCCGTGCGAATCTACCATGTCAGTCATTTTTACATGGCGGGAGAGAAACAATTCCCCCCAGAATAACCTACTGTTTTTCTGCAAAGTCCTCTAATACTAGTCCTGAGCGTATCAACGTCCCAGTGTTTTCTGAGACATTAGAGTTTGACAGGTGTTGCTCACAGTTTGAACAAGAAAATAAGAACTGATTTGATATATTGATTCTTAAAACAAAGTGCTGCGCATATATTGCTTATGAATGGCCTGCATTATCGACTTTACCAGTGAATACGTTTGTTAATACGTTTTGTGCCAATGTATTGAAATGTAACATCGCCAAATGCGTCAGTTTATTAAGGCCTAAATGTGCAATAAAAATGTATTGTGCCCATGCCTATTTAATGAAACCCTGGCTGTTGATGAAGGCAATGGTTCGCAAAGCAGGGCATCCCTGACTCTCCACTGAGCTAAACTTTTTGGAAATGGCAAGTTCACTTTCTCATCCTTAAATAAGTATTGTGTGCAAATTCACTGTTCAGATGCTCACATCAGCAGGATGGAGGGCATTTTTATAATGAGGGATGTCTACCATGGATCGCTAAAATGGCCCTAATGATTATGATCACACAATTTTAAATATTATGGGGACACCTTTACATTTGGCAGCCAAGCACAAGTTATCAGTGTAGCCCATTATCGTCTAGACACACCTAGAATAAAAACCTCCAGGCTTCCGTCATGAGTCGAAATAAAGAATTACAGGGGGACGTTTGGAAAAACGAGTCCCGTGTGAATCGTCCTCTGGAATAACGCACATGCTGGGGTAACAATTACGTAACCGCTGTTCTCTAGTAATATTAGTCCTGTCCAAATGGGGCTTTAGTCTGTGTCAGGGTTGGGGTCAATTCGGAACTTAATTCAATGCATGAATTGGACACAACTCAGGAAGCAGAATTTTGATTAAACTTTATGACTCATGAAATTCTCATTCCTTTGACAATTTTTTTACCAAAAGCATCTGCCCCTTATTAATGCAAATAATACAGATACCATTTCAAATATATTAGCTTGATTGCAACTCGGATGTCAAACAGTATGTTTGTATTTTTGTCATGATATTCGGTTGTTCCCTTCAATTCTGGAGTTTTTTATGCATTCTGGGAGTTGTATTTTCCTTCATTTAATAATATGTAGGTGAATTATGAATTTTTATAGAGATCTTAGAATATTTCTAGACTACTGTAATGATTTAACTTGTTTTAGGAGAATGTCTATAAATGAAATGTTTTACGTAGTATTGGTCACCAAATGTCAAAATACAAATGTGTATAGTGATGTATTGAATAAATTAGGCCGTTTTGAATTTCATTGAATTAAATTCTACTTCCTTTTAATTCCAATTCTGCTTCCTGTGGGGTGTGGTAAATTCAAGAATTGAATGGGAATTAGAGCAATTTGCAACTTAATTCAGAATTGGCCCAACCCTGCTCGGTCTCCCATAAACCTGCCCCAAAGGAATTCGAAGGGACTCCTTCTTTTTGATATAAAAGCTTTGATAATAGAGACTTATAATGACATGTTGCTCCCACTCTAGAAAACCAGACAGCTGGGACCCCTACTGTAACCTCATGTCTGCCAAAGAGAAAGAGTGGATCATCAGACTACAGATGATTCAGCTCCAAAGCGAGAATCCCCACCTGGACGACTACTACTACCAGGTACTGTAGGTTGGCTGGCACATCTCACTCCTCTCATTCTTTGTTGTCTTTAACCTTCAACCTCCGATAGGATTTAGTTCCCCACACTCTCCGAAATAGGATTTTAGTTCCCCACATACTCCTCCCAATGGCATTTTAGTTCCACATTCTCTTCCAATAACTTTGTATCCAATTCTCTTCTAAAACCCCCACAGCTATCCTTCTGCATGTTCTCTCTTTTATACCGTAACCACAGTTTAATTTTGAAATGTTTTCCAGAAAGGGCTGTTACATGATGGCTCTACTCTCACATTGTGCTGTAGGAGTACTATCGGCGAATGGAGGCCAAGCTGGCAGAGGAGGAGTTGGGCATGAGGGGCAAAAGGGAGCCGCCCAAACTCACCACCCCCTACGTCACCAAGATGGACTCATACACACCAGGTTTCTCCATATACCCCACATGCACTTGTCCTCATCTGTGCATGGTGCTGAAGTGTACTTTGGAAATGGTCATTGTTTTTATACTGCTGAATGTTTGCATTTTCCTTAACCCGAGTGATGCTGTTGCTCTTTCAGTGGTGCACATCGAGGGTTCCCTAGGCCAGGTCGCGGTGTCAACGTGTTTCTCTCCTCGACGAGCGATCAATGCCGTTGCAGCCCACTGTCCACACGAGGTGAGAAGAGGACATGCTTTGGGCACTTTTTGAAACACCATTTTGAAGAATGTACAACAGTTAAACTGCAATTGCGCTTTCTCTGAATGGTCTCTTCCAACAGGAACTAAAAGACATCAGGCAACAGCGATTGGACATCCTAAAGAAAATAGAAAAGGTAAAGTACAGAAAATGGCATGTTAAAGGAGTTTGACTTTATTTTAACCCCCCCCAAAAAAAATGTTTTTAATGTATAAATAAATATGTCATGTTCTAGAAGTGTCCGACACTTTCTTTTGCGATTTCATTTAGTTTTGAGAAACTTACCGCACCAGCAATAAGACTTCCTCGTTGCTTGTTCTGCATTATGGGGGACACAGATAAACATGCCAAACAAACCCAAATGTGTCCTTTTAGAAACGGCAAAGCTCTCCGTATATTGATGCATGTCTTTAATGTTGTACACATGAAATTATGTAATTCCGAACTTGATCCGCAACGTTATTGCATTTTGTTGGCTTTCTCGTTCCCATTGTGGTGATACAAGAAAGCTTTGCCATTTCTAAAAGTACGATTTTTTTTTTTTTTGAGCCTTTGTTCATGTTTATCCTTGGCCCCAACACTGAGAAAGTATATTGCTGGTGCGGTAAGTGAAAAATTGCAAAATAAGTGTCTGGACACTTCTATAACATGCCATTCACATAAATAGAGATTTGGTTTAAAAAAAGTGAACCACTAATTTAATGTCAATATGCCATCTTGTAGGATGTGGTGGTGGTTTCCAAAGTGAATCATTTTGACATGCAAAAAACTTGGCTGTTAATATGTAGGATATTAAATCCCCCCCACTGTCTCCTGTAGTTGTTCATGGTGCTGCTAGAGGTAGAAGAGGGGCAGAGGATGAAGGCACAGGTGCTGGGGGAGGGTGAGGAGAAGAGGCTGATGGAGAAAACTGGGATAAAAGTGGAGTACATCTACTCCCAGCTACAGCATCCTGACCTGTGAGTCCTGCTCTCTGCCAGTTGTATCAAGTCACCTTGAGCTGCAGTTCCTTCAGAAAGTATTCATACCTCTTGACTTATTCCACATTTTGTTAGTCTGAATTCAACATGGATTAAATAGATTTGTTTTCTCACCCATCTACACACACTACCCCATAATGACAAAGTGAAAAAACATGTTTTTAGAAATGTTTGCAAATTTATTGAAAATGAAATGCCGAAATGGCATTTACATAAGTCTTTACACTTTGTAGGATCACCTTTGGTGGAGATGACAGATTTGAGTTTTCTTGGGTGTGTCTCAGCTTTGCACATCTGGATTTTGGTATTTTCTCCCATTCTTCCTTGCAGATTTTCTCAAGCGCTGTTAGATGGGGAGCAGTGGTGAACAGCAATCAAGTCTTTCCACAGATTTTCAATGGGATTCAAGTCTGTGCTTTGGCTGGGCCACTCAAGGACTATCACATTCTTGTTCTAAAGCCATTCCAGCATTGCTTTGGCTGTATGCTTTGGGTCATTGTCCTGTTGGACTATAAATCTTTGTCCCAGTCTGTCGTTTGCACTCGGAAGCAGGTTCTCATCAAGGATTTGGCTCCATTCAATGTTTCCTCTATCTTTACCAGTCTCTCAGTCCCTGCCGCTGAAAAGCATCCCCATAGCATGATGCTGCCACCACCATGCTTCACGGTAGGGATGGTGTTAGACGGGTGATGAGCTGTGCCTGGTTTTCTCCAGACATGGCGTTTTAAAAATTCCGGCCAAAGAGTTCAATTTGTCTCATCAGACCTTATGATCTGTCTTTCACATGCCGTTTTGCGAACTCCAGGCATATTGTCATGTGCCATTTTCTCAAGAGTGGCTTCAGACTGGCCACTCTCCCATAAAGCCCAGATTGGTGAAGTGCTGTAGAGACTGTTTCCCTTCTGACAGGTTTTCCGATCTCAGCCAAGAAACTCTGTAGTTCTGTCAGTGGTCATTGGGTTCTTGGTCACCTCCTTGACCAAGGTCCTTCTTGCCTGGTTGCTCAGTTTGGTCAGACAGCCAGCTCTAGGCAGAGTCTGGGTAGTTCCATATCTTTTCACATTGATGGAGACCACTGTGCTCTTGGAAACTTTCAACACTCTAGAAATTGTTTTATACCCTTCCCCTGATAAATGCCTCATCACAATTATATATCGGAGATCTACTGACAGCTATGGGATAGTTTCTGCTCTTACATGCACTGTCAACTGTGGGACCTTATACACTGATTGTACAAAACATTAAGGACACCTGGTCTTTCATGACAGACTCACCAGGTGAATCCAGGTGAAAGCTATGATCCCTTATTGATGTCACTTGTTAAATCCACTTTAATCAGTGTAGATGAAGGGGAGGAGACAAGTTAAAGAAGGATATTTAAGCCTTGAGGAAATGGAGACATGGCTTGTGTATGTGTGCCATTCAGAGGGTGAATGGGCAAGACAAAATATTTAAGTGCCTTTGAACGGGGTATGGTTGTAGGTGCCAGGCACACCGGTTTGTGTCAAGAACTGCAACGCTGCTGGGTTTTTCACGCTCAACAGTTTCCCGTGTGTATCAAGAATGGTCCACCACCCAAAGGACATCCAGCCAACTTGACTCAACTGTGGGAAGGATTGGAGTCAACATGAGCCAGCATCCCTGCGGAATGCTTGTAGATTCCATGCCCTGACGAATTGAGGCTGTTCTGATGGCAGGGAGTCCACCTGATTGGAGTCCAACTGTGGTCAATTGTTTGGACATGATTTAGAAACACCTGTCTATACACTGAGTGTGCAAAACATTAAGAACACCTTATTAATATTGAGTTGCGCCCCACCTCCCCCTTCTAAAAACATGTTTTCACTTTGTCATTATGAGGTAGAATTTTTTTCCTCATCCATTTTGAATTCATGCTGGAACACAAAATGTGGAATAAGTCCAGGGGTATGAATACTTTCTGAAGGCACTGGTCTACTCTAAACACCAAATTCAAAAAGTAATCCCTGCGTCCATTATGAAATGTTCTTTAAACCTATTCAGATTTACTCAGAAATTATTCTTATGTTATACAGTGATGCATCACTTGTCAAGTACTTGTCATATATTTCACCCTAGAGAAGCAGGGGAAGAATTTCTGCCATGTCTCCTGGTGTCCAAAGGAAAGCGGTTACTGGCTCGGCTCCTCCCCTTCCTGTCCCATGACGCCGCGCTGAAAGTCTTAAGCATGGTGACATCACACCTGCCCGTACTCATGAGCAGAGACTCAGATGAGGTCAGTTAAAAATTTAATAAAAAAACATTTGTTATGGTGTATGGCACCGCGTTACATAGGGTTGTGGAACGTTCAGATAGAAATACATTATGTAGAACAAACATGCTTCTGACTTGACCTCTGACTAGAGTAAGGAATCAAGTCAGTTATTTTAGTTTTGCCTACTGAACATGGCCCTGTTGATATTTGTATGAAATGCTGCCTTCTTGACTGAAGAATAATCCAAACTCACTTCCACACGACCGTGGTGTTCCACACAACCCTGCAGTCTCTTCCGGTTTTGTACCCGTCTCTTCGAACTGTGATCGGAGGCATGACCTTCAGTCAGCTCATTGGGGTCCTCAAAGACTTTACGGCATCACTGCCCGACTCCAGCGATAGCAGCATGTGCCTCTCACTTGTGTGCCAAAGCAAGGTTTGTTATGCTTTTCACTTTCTCACATACAAAGCATGGTATGCTAGGCTACAATATTTGACTTTCCAATATTTTACTCTTGTGTGTTGCGCTGCCCTGATGTCTTGTTCATCATTCTCCTGTTTTACCTTTCAGTTTGGGCTCTCCTTACTCTATGCCCTTCTGTCCCAAGGAGAGAGGCTACTGTCCTCTGACATTCCTCTGGAGCCCAGCATTGGTGACTTTGAAACCTGGTACGACTGCCTTCATCCCTAGCAATATATTTGTCCATATGCAACACTGTTCCTAAGTTGTAAATAGACCTACTCGTAGGCTACAGTTAAGCGTGTCTGTACATGGTCCTTGCCCCTTGTTCATATTGACCATTTGTCATCTTTATCTCCAGGACAGACACAGTCTTCCTGGTGGCATCGCAGCTATCCCAGAGTGCTCTGGTGGAGCCCCTCCTCCTACCCTCGAACCTTCTCACACTCTTCTGCCGCTACCTGGACAAGCGTACCGTCCACCAGCTGAAGAGCAACATGGAGTGAGTTTCATAGAATTGACAGCAAATTTCTTTCATTTAAGAGATGTTTTATGTATGCATTGCAAACACAATGTAGTTCATCGTAACCAATCCCAAGGCGTATTCATTAGAAAACAACATGATTTCCTCCCATCTAGATCTGCGACTGGATACCTGGCTCTTCCGTCGTAGTAGCCAAGGTCATCTGAAGCAGAGACTGTGTTTTGGCTAATGTACAGAATGTAATTAGCACCAAAATGAAAACGAGTGGGCATGCATACCCTGAGGTATTCCCTCGGCCTAGATGTACAACAGTATGGCTGCGTTTACACAGGCAGCCCAATTCTGATATTTTTTCAAAAATGTGTCTTTTTGACTAATCAGATCAGCGCTGAAAAATATTTGATGTGAAAGATCTGTGATTGGTCAAAAGACCAATTAGTGGGAAAAATATCAGAATTGGGCTGCCTGTGTAAACGCAGCCTATGCTACCCATTCATTGTTCTCCTTGTACGCAAAATGTGTTCTTAGAACACATGAATGCCATTCTTCTTATTCCCTCATTTTTTTCTTCCCTCATTCCCTCACTTCTTTTTGCACCATTCCGTTGTCTCAATCTGTTTCCTTTATCTGCGCCTCCTTTTATTTTATACTTTCCTCCTCTTAGTCTCCAGTCCAGCAACTCAGATTTGCTCTAGTCACCACAATTATCTTAATTTTTTACCTCTATTATCCAGTCCATAGTTTTAACTGCTACTGTACCATGGCACCACAATGTGGTGTAATGGACATAAGTTAGTCCTATGATGTAACACTCTCCAGCTAACTTGCCTAATATTCAAGTCAAAATGAAAGAATATCATCAATGAACGTGTAATATAGCTTAGGGAAGAGTAAGCTGTCATTTATCATTTGCATGGTTTAAAAGGTATTATCCAAAGAAATGGGTGTCTGAATCATGGAGGATTGTACAGTAATTTGATTGTGCAGTTGCACTTTGTTAGGTGTGTAGGTTACATTTTGTCATGGAAAAAAGTGTTTTTGTAAAATCAAATTGACTTCAAAAAAATATTTGCAAGTTTGGGTTCTTTCTAAAAGATAAATGTATATGGTTTTCCAAAGTGTACCCTCTATGCATATGTGCCGTATGCTTTCTTCAATATTTATTTGAATGTTTAAGTTGTAACTTGATAAAATGTAATCAGTTTAGTTGGAAACAGAATAATCACTCTTGTATAGCACTTGCAACATAAGAAATAAAATTCTTTAAAAATAATTTGTCTTTAGTTTGAACCGTGAACACACCTCAACATGCTCTGCAAAAGTAAACTTGTGTTGATGACCCTTGTTGGTTAGATATGGATCTCTTTGTAGGCACCTGGACAATTTTCTGTAAATCTATTTAACATACTTTTGTGTATATAGTGCATTCGGAAAGTTAGAGCCTTGTTCTAAAATGGATTTAAAAAATACATTTCCTCATCAGTCTACACACAATAACCCATAATGACAAAGCTAAAACAGCTTTTTAGAAATGTTTGCAAACGTATTAAAAATAAACTGAAATCAGTTACATAAGTATTCAGACCTTCTACTCAGTACTTTGGCAGCGATTACAGCCTCAAGTCTTCTTGGGTATGACGCTACAAGTTTGGCACACCTGTGTACTTGGGGAGTTTCTCCCGTTCCTCTCTGCAGATCCTCTCAAGCTCTTGTCAGGTTGGATGGGGAGCGTCGCTGCACAGCCATTTTCAGGTCTCTCCGGAGATGTTCGATCGGGTTCAAGTCCGGGCTCTGGCTGGGCCACTCAAGGACATTCAGAGACTTGTCCCGAAGCCACTCCTGCGTTGCCTTGGCTGTGTGCTTAGGATCGTTGCCCTGTTGGCATAGCCAATCAGTGCTGCAGTAGGCCTATATGCAAATAGATCGGTGCCATTTACTTTGAACTGAACTGTGTTTACAGCTGTGGTCGTGAGTAGATGCGCTTGTTTTGAGATCAAAGCAAGCGCTGCATGTAGCCACCTCTGCACATTTTGTTCATATCCTGTGCTAGTTAGTGAGTTATTAGTCCAGTTATAGATCATTTGTAGTCAGCAGTAGGGGAGTGATTATTTCATGTACATTTGTTTGAAAAGCAAGTCAGGTTGAGCTTTTTTTGTCTTAAAGGGGCAGTGTTGTATTTTGAGAAATGTTTGAATAAGCTAAGTAGCCAATAGGTAGAGGGTAGCATAATTTGTCTGTTTCTCTGTAATATGGTATAGGAATAATAATGCATTTTGTAAAGTGGTTTCTTGCATCAAACAACACAACATATTTTAGTCACCTTGTCTGAAGGACAAGTGGATGAACAGGTTAATGTCAAGCCCTGCAAATCTCATGGAATGTATGACTACATTGAACACCACACATTGGCTGCTACTGTAGGCTGAATGATAGAACAGCTATTTCCATGTTCAAATGTTAGCCTAATTGACCACTGTTAAAACTGTAACTTAAAGCGGGTACAGCCTCAGTGTTCACAGTAAACGTGCGCTGGGAGTTGCACAGAATTTTCACAATGTTCAAATTTGTGCTCAGCAGACCTGAAATTTGCTCAGTGCTGAAAAATACTAGAGGGAACATTGGTGCCTATCCACCATAACTATTTTGCTTAGACCTGTTGTGAGTAATGTTGCTAGGGACCATAATATAAGGTTGTTTGGGTCTCACTGTACCTCCTTTTGTTAATTGGTGTTCATCTTCAAGTACAAGTGAAATTGTACAAGTATTTCAACCTCTGCTCAGTTTGTATGTTTTCTGTTAGTGTAGTTTGACTGCGTTCTGTCAGTTATACAATTCTCTGGATTGTATTTTTGATGTCCAAGTTGGTTGACACCTTTCCCTAGGTGCGCATTTTCAAGGTTGTCTGGTATTTTGTCCCCTTTACTCGTCTGTGAAGCACTTCTCTCTGTTCTTTCTGGTTTACTCCTCTAGTTGGTCTGTCGTCTGATGTGTGACAGTCTCCTTGAAACAAATCAAACACTTGAACTGTCAGGGCCTCTTGTTGCTTTTGGCAAGCACAGCCTTTTACTGTTTTCTCACGCCCCTCAGGTGAAAAGCATGGACATACACTCTTAAGTACTCTCAATGACGCTAATACTGGTGCTGAAATGGACCAGTGCAATGAGTTGACAAGTTTCACAAAGCTACTTTCAGAATGTCTGCCGATGTAGTTGGTTAATGGATGTTGAAGGACATATTGGCAAGTTATTTGACACAATATTCAAGACTAGATATACAGTAAAAGAGAAGACTTCATGAGGACATTTAAATCTGTTAAGCCATTCACAGTATTCATTTGAGAAATAACCCATTGCATACTAACATTCTGTGTAGTTCTTGGTAAATTGCTTGTTTAGATTTTTTATATACAGTGGGGAGAACAAGTATTTGATACACTGCCGATTTTGCAGGTTTTCCTACTTACAAAGCATGTAGAGGTCTGTAATTTTTATCATAGGCACACTTCAACTGTGAGAGATGGAATATAAAACAAAAATCCAGAAAATCACATTGTATGATTTTTAAGTAATTAATTTGCATTTTATTGCATGACTTAAGTATTTGATACATCAGAAAAGCAGAACTTAATATTTGGTACAGAAACCTTTGTTTGCAATTACAGAGATCATACGTTTCCTGTAGGTCTTGACCAGGTTTGCACACACTGCAGCAGGGATTTTGGCCCCCTCCTCCATACAGACCTTCTCCAGATCCTTCAGGTTTCGGGGCTGTCGCTGGGCAATACAGACTTTCAGCTCCCTCCAAAGATTTTCTATTGGGTTCAGGTCTGGAGACTGGCTAGGCCACTCCAGGACCTTGAGATGCTTCTTACGGAGCCACTCCTTAGTTTTCCTGGCTGTGTGTTTCGGGTCGTTGTCATGCTGGAAGACACAGCCACGACCCATCTTCAATGCTCTTACTGAGGGAAGGAGGTTGTTGGCCAAGATCTCGCGATACATGGCCCCATCCATCCTCCCCTCAATACGGTGCAGTCGTCCTGACCCCTTTGCAGAAAAGCATCCCCAAAGAATGATGTTTCCACCTCCATGCTTCACGGTTGGGATGGTGTTCTTGGGGTTGTACTCATCCTTCTTCTTCTTCCAAACACGGCAAGTGGAGTTTAGATCAAAAAGCTATATTTTTGTCTCATCAGACCACATGACCTTCTCCCATTCCTCCTCTGGATCATCCAGATGGTCATTGGCAAACTTCAGACGGGCCTGGACATGCGCTGGCTTGAGCAGGGGGACCTTGCGTGCGCTGCAGGATTTTAATCCATGACGGCGTAGTGTGTTACTAATGGTTTTCTTTGAGACTGTGGTCCCAGCTCTCTTCAGGTCATTGACCAGGTCCTGCCGTGTAGTTCTGGGCTGATCCCTCACCTTCCTCATGATCATTGATGCCCCACGAGGTGAGATCTTGCATGGAGCCCCAGACCGAGGGTGATTGACCGTCATCTTGAACTTCTTCCATTTTCTAATAATTGCGCCAACAGTTGTTGCCTTCTCACCAAGCTGCTTGCCTATTGTCCTGTAGCCCATCCCAGCCTTGTGCAGGTCTACAATTTTATCCCTGATGTCCTTACACAGCTCTCTGGTCTTGGCCATTGTGGAGAGGTTGGAGTCTGTTTGATTTAGTGTGTGGACAGGTGTCTTTTATACAGGTAACGAGTTCAAACAGGTGCAGTTAATACAGGTCATGAGTGGAGAACAGGAGGGCTTCTTACAGAAAAACTAACAGGTCTGTGAGAGCCCGGAATTCTTACTGGTTAGTAGGTGATCAAATACTTATGTCATGCAATAAAATGCAAATTAATTACTTAAAAATCATACAATGTGATTTTCTGGATTTTTGTTTTAGATTCCGTCTCTCACAGTTGAAGTGTACCTATGATAAAAATTACAGACCTCTACATGCTTTGTAAGTAGGAAAACCTGCAAAATCGGCAGTGTATCAAATACTTGTTCTCCCCACTGTATATACAGTACCAGTCAAAAGTTTGGACACACCTACTCATTCAAGGGTTTTTCTTTATTTTTACTATTTTTTACATTGTAGAATAATAGTTAAGACATCAAAACTATGAAATAACACATGGAATCATGTAGTAACCAAAAAAGTGTTAAACAAATCAAGATATATTTTATATTTGAGATTCTTCAAAAAGCCACCCTTTGCCTTGACAGCTTTGCGCACTGGCATTCCCTCAACCAGCTTCATGAGTTAGTCACCTGGAATGCATTTCAATTAACAGGTGTGCCTTGTTAAAAGTTCAT